GCAACTATTTGTGCAAGATACTCCATGCTACGCTTTACATATCTGCAAGAAATCAGAACTGCCTAATTGTCGCACATTCACTCACCAGTCCACTCCCGCCGCTCACAACTGATCGAGAAAATTGACGTGACAGTGTCAATTCGATGTCGCCTCCACACCACTGAGTTGGGATATTGGAGGGGAACATGACTGCTCTGCTGTTTAATTCAACTTTGCATAGACCCACACTAGTGCGTCCTCCAGTTGTGCTTCCAAGTTTGAACAAGAGGATGAGGTGAACTTTGCATTTTATACCACTGACATCAAGTTGGTAGTGATTTAAGTCGCAAATACTTCCAGCGTTCACTTTCACTTTCGAATTTAGTGTAGCTATTATTGGTGTATGGCGAGAAGTTGAGCTTGTGGCAGCCGATCCTGTGCCAATTTTTGACTTATCTGGTCTTCTAAATGTCAGCATAGCATATTTTTCTGCGGCTGTGTTTAGTCGCATCTCTATACACGCTTGCGATCGTTTCGCAGCCAACTTCAACTCTAAAGCAGCTTGACTGCTCCCTAAAGACGGAATAGTTGTTGCTGGTTGGTGGGGAGGAGATACGCCTGTAATATGTGTGACCACCTGATGTCTGGTAGTCACTTTAAGATTTGCCTGAACCTTATTTGCGTGTGCTTGCCTTCGGACCATGCTCAGACCTAAGTATTTTGCTCTCCAAAAAAAACCGTAAACAGCTACACACTGCTTCTTCTACGAGGTAGGAAGTCTCGGAACGCTACGCTGGGAGCAGCAGAAAGCGATCTTGACATTTCTAAACGACCTCTATCCTAGCATGTTCTGTCGGAGTGGAGGAGGCGCATTTTCATCTGTGGCGGGAGAAACTCTAAAACCTTTACAACAAAAGGTTGAGAAGGACGTCGGCTTTTGGCCTCACCTTATGCCCATGTTTCACACACAAGTCATTAACAACTTATTCAACACCACTGTTAACCACCTTGAAAATTTTCGTGCTGTAATTTTCATTACTTAATCTGGGTATAGGCGTTGGAAATGAGGCTACAGTTCTCCTTATGTACGGGACTGTGTCTGGTCCCGTTTACCATGCGATACGTATAGTTTAGGCCAGAGATCCCTTGCCTAGTCCTAAGAAACATTTGATGGTCAACAAATTTATGCAGACCAAACACAATTCCAGATCCATTTAAAGCTGCCGAAAAGATCAAGTACAGTTCCTTGGTCTCACGGTATCTATTAAATGGCGCTACTGACTCATGAGTGCTTTCTTGCAGTACCGAATATATTGTGGTGGCTGGCACGGAAGTGTGCCAAGGGGACCGTCGAGAACGTCATTGAAGAGTAGAGGAGGGCAGTGTAATACTTTGTTTATGTGACCACGTGATGTCCATCGGTCTGGGCTGGCCTTCGGGCTATGCTCAGGCCATGCTGCTTTCTTCTCCTTAAATAAATACAGGCATTAGGTTTCACTTACTTCTTCTACCAGGTGGGAAGTCTCGGGACATTAAAGCGCCCATTTACATTGGGGTTGTTTACCATTCAGACTTTCACAGGGAGGTTTAAAGAAAAAAACGTGCATGCAAAACTATCATTTATCCAAATCAGTTAATATGGATATTTTCCTCTACTCCCTTCTTTAGCTCTGCACTTCCTTGTGATCTTTGTTTGTGCCCTCTGCAATAATTATCCGCTGGACTACAATTCGCGGATTAGATGAAATTTAGAAAATTGTACCAAAGTTCCCATTTAATTGGCGATTTCGAAAAAGGACGTATATATTGTCAAGTTCACATATTTGCGATTTGCTGCCGAAGTGGATATCCGTGGAAGTTGCGGCATTGTATAAAAAATGTCCGTTTTTGCCCTTGATATTATGGCTAGGGCCCTCTCTTTTGCGCATGATTGCGTTACGTTTTCGATTTTTTTTCATCAATGCAGATTGCAGCATAATTAAAAGCCATTGTTTTAATGATTATAGGATGATGGTGCTTGTGCTAGATCCCTATTTGCACCGTATTTTTAGCCTTTGTACGTTGGCCTTGGGTTTCATTTGCGTCCCATGGTGGAAGGCACGTTCGAAAAGCGTTTGGTGAGGAAGCCTGCAAAGTAATTATTGAGTAACCGTGACTGTAATTTAAAGGGATCGTTTGGGCAGTAGCCGAGATGGTACAATGAATTCAAGGCGACAGAATGTTATTACTGATCTTCGCATTAAAATTCGAAACTCTCCCAAGGTATCTTCTGGACGAGTTGATGCGCGCAAATTCCTTATGCAAAGGAAGCTGTCTAACAGACGGACAAGAAGTCAGCTTAGCACTTTTACTTCTACCCTAAGTCGTGGAGCAAGCGTACCCTTTCTTATTCCCAGGCGAACTGTAAGTTAGCATTAGTCTTCTCAATTCGATTTCCATCTTTAACGCTATTTGGATACATTGCCTCTGTCATTCGATTAAGTTTTGGTCACTTTAATTTAAAGCGAACTTTGTTGTCTCCCTTTTTAGATCAAGAATGAATACTTTGGTGGCGCTCTTCATGTAATTTGATTCGATTAAATACTCCAATATTTTTCGCATTTCAAGTCATCAGATCTCTCGAAAACAATCATTTTGTAGTCATTTCCTGCGCGTCAATGGGGTTCTTCGGCGATTTCAACACCCAGTTCGTTGATCCGTAGTGTGGAAAATAAACCCCTGGGTGCAGTCTCATTAACTCAGGGCAACTCTGTTGCTTCTACCATCAGCCCCATTCAAGGCTTTCGAGTCGAGGCGAAAAACCTGCTACCCACCGTCACTATTGATGACGTCTACGTAAGGCCTCTTGCTCGATAAAGACCTCTTCTGCTTTCGTCTTGAAGTTGTGCTGTTTGAGGTTTGTTATGTAACTTACCGAATGTAGAAGTAAGTTAATGTCGCACATTCGCAAATTTCCTACCTCATTCCTTTGGCATGCTTGGTTGGGGCACTTAATCTACCCATTCTTGTCACTTAACTTCGTACTATTGCTCGTATGTTCTTAGATGGTTTCTAGACACATGTGTAATCGGAATTCACTAATTTGGTGAGTCTAGGAGGATACCTCTGTGGTGCCGGGTGTCAGCCATGTCAAACGCTGACGAAAATGTTTTCTTCAAGAAGCATTTGTGGGTAGTCGCCTGCAGCTATCAAATTGTTCAGTGATTGAAATGAATGACCTTTTGAGTTGCAGTTGTCTGCTGAAATTTTGTGGAAATTCGATCTTGGTCTAAGTTTGAATGTTTCGCGGTGAAATGAGATCAACCATCAATATTTAATAATGACTGTTAGCGTTTTCGAAGAGGCTCGCGTAAGAAAGGCTCGACAGTAGAAATCAGAAATTTTTTGTGTTAAATAATAGGGAATTTCAATTACTATGCTCAACAGGGTAATCGGAAGTTCTAGAATCGAGATTTGAACTTGGTTTCCCGTATTTACAGAGGACAATAATTTGCGTGCTCTGTTTCTTTATTGGGCCATTTACCATTGGTTGATTGGATATTTCATTACATTTTTTGGCATGGGACAGTAGTGCACTTGTCTACGACTCCTACTCATTGAATTGGTTTTAACGTCCTTTTATGATGAGATAAGTTCGGTTTGGTGTCTTCGTCTGTTTTACTAAATATGCCTGTGTTTAGGCATTCAGATATGCACCATTCGTGAATGAAATTGTTTTCGTTTCCTTTTAATTATTATTATTAACACACGAAAGATGTTTTTTTTGTCGTAATTAAAAGATTTCGTCATTACTCCTGTAGGAGTTATTTTCAGGTGTTGGCTCTCTTCGATCCTGCACTTTGACGCATCCCGGTCAGGCAGAGGTCATCTTTAACTCTCCTCAAGATGCTCAATCGGCCGTAACACGTTACAACGGGCGTGAGCTCGATGGCCGTCCTATGATTGTCACCCTGACGACACCACTAATGTCCTCCTCTACCGCCATTTCAAAGGGACCCGCTTTTGAATCCTCTGCAAGGTGAAAATCATCAAATATTGCTACCTTAGATGGTGTTTGAAGTGAGGTTTCTTGCGTTGGCGGAGTAGAGTATTTGGGCAAGTTATAGGCGCCCATTTTTTTATTTCAATCCGAAGGAAGCTGAGCATCTGTGACTTTCGTGGATTTGACTATCCGTTCTATTTGATAAGATTCTGTGTTTATATCCCAGGCTGCTACGGTGCTGTGATGTCTACCATGATAAACTGAATTTTTTGTGACGGTAACAGTGGTTATTTTAGCTCAGTTTTTGAAGCTTCCGCATTCTGCTATTGATCATTATTTTAATCGGTTTTGGCGAACAGTGCTTGCAGTGATCGCATTTACGAACGACTAAATTCTTCCTTTTATAAACCCTTGCATGAGTTTACCATCAGTAGCACGTTATGATGTTTCCTAGTCGTTTGGATATCTCTTTAAATTGGTAGCACTAACAGGTGCATCCTTTTTGGTGGTCGTAGTGGGCTGATTTGTACTCATCGGTGTCACATATGCTTCCACAACTCGATCTCCGAAAGAGTGGTTTGCAATCCAATCTTTTTATTTACTTTTAGCCCATGAAACCACTTACCAAACAACCTTTTCTTGTCTATGAATTGAAAATCTGTTTGAATTTTGAGACTTGTAAAACCTTGCGTAATAACTATTTCTAAACATACAGTAAACGTTTTAGTATGGATATGACATTGAAGTTCATAACTCTTCTTGAAAGCTTTGTATGGTAAGGACTTTCGTGGTAGTGCAAATTTCCCTGCAAACCTTCGGAAGTATCACTTACTGGTGCTGAACAAGTAGAAGTGCCGGTTTTTGGCGGTGCCGGGCTATTTTGACGGTCAATGTTTGCCATTCGAGCGTGCTGAGGTAGGGCCAGTTTAGTTTTAAGTATTTATGCGCTGTAGGTGGCTTACCAGTTAGCAGAAGAAGACTAGTTTCAGCCGTTTTCAATGCGTTCTTTTTAGTTTGTTATTGTTAAATGGGGCAGAAAGAGGGAAATGATCGCCTCATGAGTTAATTTAATTTCCAATGTGATGAGTTTTTCTTCCAACTTTTTTAGCTCCTCTGCCGTCCATCAAGGCCCAAGAGTCCGATTGCTCGACACGAAAACAAATGTTAATAGGAATGTCACGAGTCGGGCGTTGAATCGCAATGTCTCAAATCCAGGGCGTCCCGTGGTTTTTCACGTTAATCTCTAAATAAGACGTAAAAGTTGCCTTTCTGCGGTCCAACATTAATTAAACTTTCATGCCGTATGCCTTATCTGATTTCTACGCTCTGAGGGGTGTCCGATGGTTTCGGTTGCTATTTCAGAAATACATTTAGTTCTAGTGGTATCTCGAGGGCCAGGTACTACGGGTAGGCCTTGGGTTTAGTAGTTATTCCAAGTTGGCGTTTGAGGTGGGTCTGGTGGTGCGTCTCTCGGCACGGTCTCTGTCGATGGGGAGGTGGTTACTTTGTGATCCTTGTGGGTTCACTTAAAATTCTCTCTTAAATTTGATAGTATTAAACTCTACTTATGTCTGCCTATCAATCATCTGCTTGTAAGTGCTTATGCACATAATTTTAGTTTCAACGTGACAACATATTCTGTTCTGACAATGTTCGACAAATCTTTTCCACTAATTTACGTAAATCGAAATAAAATCAACTATTTCTACTGAGCTGTGTTTCAAATGATGTCTGGCGCATTTATACCAAAAGTGACATGCTTTCATCACCAGCTCGAAAAGTTTAAATGGTTCGAGGTTATGATTGTAACTAGGGCTGTACAACTTGGCAAATTCGAAGCATTAGACAGCGGACTAATTTATTGTTTTGACTTTACCATGGCTACGACGTTGAATTTAAAACCTTGTCTTAGAATAAAGGCATTAGTCATTAGTAGTTTTGCTCCGAGTTACATTATTCTTGCATTCAAGGTATCTTCTGGGCTTGGCAACGATTGCATTAAATGCAATTTCTGTTTTCAAGATGAGGCTTTTTTCAAACTCCCGATTCCATTTTAATGCGTAATTCTCTAGTATAGTCTATACTCCTAATTTCTTTCACGAGTAATTTGTCGACGGATATAATGAACTTATATTCTAGGCTAACCAAATCAAAAATACTCTTTTTGACGAGATCATCGACGTGTCTACTTCAGAATCTGATGAAGTATTGAGTACCACATCGATTGTTGTAGAGAGAAAAGGTATGATGAACTTAAGATGATCCGTTTACAAATTATGCCCAGGTAGAAGGGAATAAGACCAAATTTTTAATAAATTTTAGGTCAGACAAAGGTAAGAAAGCGGAGAAAGTGTTTTGCTTTCGATAAACAAATGCAAATAAAGTGCAATAAAGGCACTGCAAATAAGGTCAGATATTAGTCCTTCCTGTGTTGGATTACAAACTTGTCATCTCACAAGAGGATAAGTTCAAACATAGCTCTGGAGAGTTTGACATTTTATGACGCATGCGTACTTTCATGCTTCATGCATAATGTACGCTCTTAGCTTTGACTAACAGAATATACAGTTTTAAACCATTGCCAGAAGCATCTCACCTTACTCACTGTGAGTTTAGCCCCAACTATCTACCTTTGGAATTTAAGTAAAGTGTTTACGATATCGGCATTCTTCATGCCTAAAGCATTATTTGAATCGCTTAAGTCAAATTTAAAGTTAATTACTGCTGATAATTTGGCCAATGGAGGACAAAAATGGAGCTCGTCGAACCAAACAGGGCCATGGTGAAGATGCAAACTATTTTGAGTCAGACAGTGAGGAAAGAAATAGAATCAGCAAAATTAGTTTGGCCAATAATTCAGCCAGAGCCAGTGCCTGCAACTCATCTGGCGAAGATGTAGATAACAGAAAAGAAGATGATGAGGATGAAGATGGAGATAGTGAAGATGACGTGGACGAAAACGAAAGTTCACATATGGATCCATGTGTCGGGTATATCTTCTAGCCGCCTATCTAACCCATTGTCTCCTCAACCAGACATACGTGCACAATCACTTTTTTAGTTCGTACAACCCAGCCGACTTTGACCATTTGATTGTTTCGCCAGAAGTGAAAGAGATGTTCCAATACATTCAGCGATATATACCTCAGAAGATTGAGATCGAGACAAGACTTCGGCCCTTTATTCCAGAGTACATAGCAGCCGTTGGCGACGCTGATGCCTTCCTAAAAGTAGGCTTTGCAAAAATAACCGTGAATATATTAATTGTCTTGAAATCTTGTCTTACCTATCCCTGCGTAAGGTTCCTAGACCCGACGGCAAGCCCGATAATCTGGGCTTGACCTTGCTGGATGAACCCAGTATCGATCAGTCAGACCCCACAGTCCTCGACCTTCAATTGCGTGCAATTTCCAAACAAAAAACCATAAAGGAAATGGTGATTTCACACTTTTTCGCAATAGCTTGCGTATTTTTTTTAAATTAGTACAATATTTAAACAGCTTCCAAGCAAGGACAATCATGTTCAACAATCTAATTTTTAACTAAAGAAGGCTTTCGTTCCACTCATTGGAAGCACAGAAGAGCAGATCCTTTTAAGTTGTTATATTGAGGTAGCCACACTCCAGTCGCCATAGACCTATTCACGAAATTGGCATCAACCTCCTTCCATGGCTCTAAGAATTGCATATTTTGCTCTGAAAAGAAGTCTCCACTTTGATCAGCTCACCTTAGTCATATGAATATCCAATGATCCAATTCAGCGATTGTAAGTGGCTGAAGTTTGGAGCATCGAGCTTTGGAGAGGTTACAAATGCTTCTGCACTTCATATATTTCCTACTATACAGGCAATTTTCTTCATTACTCAAGACTGTCAAGAGCCTTGAAAATCCCGAGAAAAACGAAAAGGAGATCGATAAGTGGATTAAGAGCATTACAAATCTTCATCTCTCGAAACCACCTCCAACCGTCCACTATACAAAGTACGTAGTTTTCCTTCACTGCTTACTCCTTATGGAGCTTTTTTTTAAAAAGAAGGCGTTTACAGTGTACTTCACCATGTGGTTGCCCGTTAGAAAGCATGTGTTTTGGATGTACCCGTTGCCGACTTTTAAGTAGTATTAGGCTGTACAGCAGGCAAGGTGCAGTCCTCCACATTACCGCAATCTCTTGCTTAGTTTGCTTATTTACTTCGCAAAATTGGTCGTCTTACGATGCCTACGTACAAGTCGTTGCAACGCAAGTCATTTGTCATGCAAGTCCACACCCTTGGCATTGTCAAGTAGTCACAATAAGTGCGAACGTCAATCGTATTTGTAATTACCGCTTTTGGCTATTTTAATTCCCTGAATCATGTGCAGATGAATGGTCCTCTAAGGCACATAAGACTGATGACAAAAGGCGTCATCATGTTAGCAGTACACTTAGTTGCATTAGTCTTAAGAGTGTATCAGGAGCGTTAACTTCTAGTTAGTTTTGCATTTTCCTCTGATCTATGTAAAACGGTAAATACGTATTTGGTGGGGATTTCTTACTGCTTTTGGACTCTGGTTTTTTTTGTTCTGTACCTCTGCGTACTGGCAGTACTTTGTACTTATGGAGTCATTATGTTTGCTGTATTTGCACTTTATGTATAAGATGGTCTGCGGTGTCATTCATCTTACAATAAAAACATTTCTTATAGGAGATTAGAATACTCTTCGTAAGGACTTTTCACTCCTTAATTCCATTACCCTGGTGTCTATAAAGAAGGCATTATACACAACTTCTCCCCACAACTATCAACTTGTTTGCTTGGAATCACGATTTTATCGCTGATGTCTTTTTTTAAGGGGTTTTACTGCATCAAATGGAATCCGCATTCGGATATTCTTAGAACGGAAATGACTTGCTCTGTGCAAGTGGGCAATATTTCGAGCTACTCATGGTTGTATTTGCGTGTGTGGGAAGAGTCCAAGTGGTTATGCACACGCCGCTGTTCTCAGGTTGATTTCGTGAATGATAGGTACCACTAATAGCATCACTGTATCATGAGAAACTCGGGTTTGAGGTGATGACTTGTAATGGAAGCCCATGTGTCATATTGCCTGGCACAACTATTCAGCAAGTCAAATTGTGTCCTAATGCATAACAGTGCAATTTTTTGCTATTTTCCAAATTTTATAGGATCGAGGTAATATTAAAAAGACTAATGAAGTCCGCTTTTAATGGAATTTTACATATACAATTCACAAAAGTCTGGAATGCATAGCTGTGGGGTCAGAATACCTATGAGAAGGTAGAGTAAGCAGGAACTGCAACTTAAATCTCTCAGTATTCACTCCTCCCTTCATCAGGTCGCCTTATTCGAACATGAGGTGTCACCGATTTGGGTCTCTCAAGCATAGGCAACGATCATTCGTCTGGTCAGCAGCATTCAATTTCTACTTTAATAATGGCTTGAAATTAAAGTTATTTTTGTCCTTGATATAACGAAATTTCACTGTGGCTCATTGTATAGCATTTTCATCTACAAAGCATTAGCCGTGTTTTGAGAGTTTCCCTTGTTTTGATTGGTCCTTTAGTAATGGTATGACCTACGAGCCAATCAAAATCGAAGATTCTCTGATCTTTTGTCGTACAAAGGGAATGAGAGGTAGCGGGAAGTTGTTTGCCTGGTTATGACGACTTGGAAATGCGCGATGTGTTACCATTTTTAGTGAGCCGGATTGGTCAAGACTTGTCTAACTGCCTCTTAAAAATGCAATAGCATTTCTTTTGAGAGTATCACTTGTATAAAAGAATTGGCTTAAATTTTTTATCACATTCCCAATACCAACATTAGCATAATTTGACAGTTTTGAGTTGGGAAACTGCAGAAGAATGGTCCCTTAGCTATCATATGCAGCAATTTTTGGTGTTAAAAGTCTAGCCTTTGTTAATGCTCACGACTAGCCACTTGGAGTAGTACATTCAGCAAACTGGCCTCACAGCCTAGACGCCATGATAGAAAGCAGTAAGGTCGAATTTCATCATTAGTATCTTCAAAAGGTGCCATCACTGGACCGCTCCCGTGACGATGTGCTCCGATGACTTGGCTCTTAGCTTTAGCATTATATGGAAACAGACACTACTTTGATGCTTCAGCGCCTCAAATCCCTAATTTGCCTCCTCTTTCAAGACCGATGCCCGACTTGACATCACTAATGAGAGAATGGCCTACGGATTTTGAGACGACTTTGAAGGCGGCGGAGGCGCCAACGGCACAACTTAACTGCAGCCTTAGGGAATATGTCGAAATAATATGTGGTAAAATAATTTTATTCCGATTGTAAGCCCATCTCTCTTTTTTGCTTCGAAGTATGCAACAGTTAAATGCTTATAAAGAGCATCATCAAAACTGCAATAACATTTGCCACCGTCATGCGTTCTTTTTTTTTAATGGTTTCATTTGAAAAAACAAACAAAGAGCTGATGTTGCTAATGGAGTGCTACACTACACCTTTTTATCACCAATTATTCTTGCCCAATTCTAGCCATAATGGACATTCCAGTGTATAACAATCGTATCGAGTCACTTCATCTTCTCTTTTCTCTCTATATGGAATTCAAAAACTCTCAGGTACAAAACTTTTTGCACTCGTTCATACAATTAAGCTTGTTCCATGCTGAAAATGCATTGTTTTTCATGTTACAGCACTTTCAAAAGAACGATATTAAAAAGTCCACTGAAGACGCGGTTTCTGTATCCTAGCTCGACCTCCCATTGTTTTTTCAGCACTTTTAACTCTTGCGGAATAAAGCATTACGTACTGCAGAAACGAACTTGTGTTTCTGATAAATATGGCTAATTTTTTATCTTGAGTTGTCGCAATGAATTCCCTGAAGAGATATATGCCAAAGTAACCAGTTGTCTCTAAGTTAATGATCTCAAAGCTCGTTTCGTACTTGCTTGTCAATAACGTCCACTTGAAGTGGAAATGGACAAATTTACCCAGGGAGGTGAAAATGATAGCTCCGCAAGCAGGTGAGGCCCTGAGCAACAAGAGACTTCACTTTGCCTACGAGATTTGCCGTGTCAAGTTGATCCGAAGTGGACCGATGATGTGGAGCAATTATGAGACTGCTTCACCCTTCCCTTTCAGCATTAGTGCACCATCTGAATCGGCACTCAGCAAGGCCTAAAATGAGTATAATTTCAAGCATTCATTTGACAGCTAATCCTGCCCCTTCGTGCCAGTGTTGTTACCCTCAATAAATTCTTACGACTCAGTGGCAAGGATACTTCCGGCTAATGGCACCCAATTTAGGCCACTTGCATTGGATTAGAAGATCCATTACAGGTCTAAGGTGAAACTGATTGTTGGAGATTCAATCCTTCCATTATATCGGTCGGTGGATGAAATAAACTTATCCTGTACTTCCAATTTCAACATTCCTGTAAAACATCAGTGGTCCACGCTTTAACAAAAGTCATTGAAACACCAAATAACTAAGTGGTAGGAAATTTCCAAACCAGCTCTGATCTCGTTTCCCAACCCTTCCCTGCGCCTACTACACCGAGTAGAATGATTGGAGGAGGCATTCGATTTCCTCGGCAAGCAGGAACATAGACGCAATCCTCTCTTTTATTCAAGGCGGAAGTGGAGTCTGAGACCAGTAGGCAGTTTCCTTCTCTCCCATCGGCATTCTCCTCCACGTCTCGGTGCCATTTGAACTCTCACATTCACTTCAGCCTCCTCAAGGAAGGAGGAGGGAGACTTAATCTCTTTAATGACAATTATCTCTTTACTTCTCTACCAGGTTATCAATTTGCTATGAGAATTTTTTCGAATTTTTTTATTTTTCAAAAGGTCTCATTCCCATTGCTGCCATAATAATGTACTCAAAAAACGAATGTCAATGCAAGAGTTTATTGTTTTTGAAAAGCAATCTTATTACTAAGATAAAACCTCAAATGTATTGTAAAATTGAAGTGGTGAGGTGTGACTTTATGTCCTCGAAAGGGACTTTCACAATGGAGTGTTCACAGTTTTGTAAAATCAGTAAAAAAATCGAGGGTGGCAGAAACTGTGCACATTGGTGTGTGCAAGGTGTGTGTCTACTCAAAGTTCTCCACTCTCCACGCCAGATTGGTGCTATGAGCACACACTGTGAGAGGATTGGTGGAGCCAATTTCACTCTTAAGTCCAATTTGCCAGTTCTCACCATCAATAGCATCAAGTCGCTTTAAAGCAAGCGGTGCACAGAGAAGTCATTTATAGCAGACAAAGGCACACAAACATACAAACACATACACACAAACACAGTCCTACATAGACACACGTTATGGGTCTACGAATTGGTGCACGTCGACGAAAAGATAAACAAAATGAGGATAAGAGGACACGAAAAAGTAGCAATTCAAAGAGCGCTGACAGGTTGGATGCTCTACCTCCAGCAAGTCCCGGAAGCCTGACAACGAGGGCGGTTGATGGTGGAACCTGTTTAGCATCCCCCTTCCTCCCCAATTCAATCAGCACTGCTACTTCCAACAATCTCTACAATGCACAATCAACTAGCAATCGTAATGTCATCTTTCGAGACAATCGATTCCCCGATGGCACTATAATGCCTCGTATCCAAACACAACAGTCACAAATCCTTCCAGTTGGAGGTGGCAAAGAAGGACGTGTGTCCCCTACAGGCTCTGTATACTCTTCGGCCTCTGTCCAACCCGCTCTTCTCAACTATGCATCGTATCCTCCTTCTTATGTTCCGCAGTTCTCTGCTAAACCCACCGAATTGGCCGTCAGAAGAGGTGAGCATATCAACGGTGACAGCGTCTACCAGTCAGTGTACGCTGAAGCCATGCCCAAACCCGATTACCCTTTATCCAACGATGGCACTGCAACCTCCAATCGAGACAGCGGTCTTGACACCGAATCACGCTCCTCTTCGGCTGGGAAACCGCCCTTCACCAACACTGTCGACAAATGCTCTCGGTGGAGAGTGAGTCAACCATTTCTTTGCGTTACTTTGACAATATTGTCACTGATACCTTCCCATCAATGCATTCGGAAGGCGCAATTGAGTAGCCCTTCAGCACATGTCCGAGCATACACTTCAATCAAACCTCTTGTCTGCGTAGAAAAATAGTTACTTTTCAGACTGCACTGTGGAGTTCATTAATTCATTATGAAACACTGTGCATCAGATTGCGAAACTTTGTGTCGTATTCACTCGAAATCAGTGAAGTTTCTTCTTTTTTTGTCACTTTACTTTGTGGTAACAATGCAATCGCCATTTTGATCCGATCGCTGAGAGATCACAAGTCTGTTTTTTTTACTTACATTCTTCTCCACAATTGCGCGTTAATGAATTAAAATTTGATCTTTTCTTGGTAATTTTTTTACATTTTCATTAGTGATTGATAGGTGGTAGGACGCTTATAAACGCAGTTCCACTGATTATGAGTGAAAGAGACGATGTTAATGAGACACTTGTGCGGCTTTAATTGCAGGAGGCATCACGTCAAGACGATTACAGACAACCGAAAGGCTTTCAATCACGACACTTGAGTCAAGGCAGGCCAAATAGCGTCTACACTTTCAATGATTCGCCTCAAATTTTGCTACCCAGAAATTACCAAAGTGATTGTGACACACCGGAATTCGGAAAAGCGGCGATTGCTACATCATCACGCGGAAGGCGACAATTAAATTCCAATGACATCGCCTATGGCACCGCCATGATGCCCCGTCAGTGGAGAAATCCGAAGAGCTATGATGAAAAGTCCTATTCTACGCATCAGACTGATGGATACTATCGTTGCTCCTCTGCTTTGCTTAATGAAAATATTCGTAAAACTTCACTTGGCACAGGTTCTTTGCAACGCATTCAGTTGGAGGATGACGTATCCACTGCGAGGGGTAGTCGAGGCACAAACTATGGACATCCAAGAAGACGATTCAGAAGGGAGGATGAATTTCAAGGATGCACAGTAAGATCGGCTTCCTATGGATTGCCTCGCAATCAGCCTATTCGAGGCGGCTACTTTGAGGAGAAAAACGAGATGGATAGATATGGACGTCTGTCACCTGTCAGACGTCCAATAAGTAGAACGTGTAACAGTCGAGACGTGTGGGACTTTGACAATGGGGGAGATGATTATGTTGATGATGATGACGACGACGATGACGTGGGTTCAAGGGCGCGAGTGGAAGTGGACTACTCGGAGGAAGACGAAGAGGAGGATGAGGAAGATGGGGAGGACGAGGAAACTTCGAATTTTCAAGATGCTCCCTACACTTCCAAATACTCAAGAGCCTATGCTAACCATTCACGGATGGGGCCGAATTATTACCGACGATTTAGTGTGCCCTCAATGGCCAACCACGAAGTCAGTATTATCCGACTGTAGAGGGACAAATAATGAAGAAAATGATTTGGTTTTAAATTCACACTTTCCTCTTTCATTGATGCGTGACACCGCCTACTTGACAAGTGACATGTTGATAGGCAATATTACATACAATTTATTTAAAGCTCCTTTCCGCTTTAATACAGACATATTTTATAAACTATATTTTTCAATTATCCCTCGAGCATTGTGTGTGTGCGTGTGTGTGTGAGAATAGATGGGGGGAAGGGTAGTCTACAATAGCATGTGATACCACCGCAAAGGATGAATAATTAAACCTTGAAGTGCCCTCACAGCGCCATCATTTATCGCAGTCACTGCAAACCGCTCTCCTCGAATTCCAGGATTACCGTATTTTTAACTTACAATTCTACAAACGGTGCATTTGAAGGGTTTTCTTGTCACATTGAGATGCCCCTAGATAATGCAAAGCAATTGGAGGTCCACTTGAGACCACCTTCTTGTCTTGGTGGACTGGGGGAACAAAGACGGTGAATAAGGGAGAAGAGAGTTTGACTTAAAATATTGAAATGACTGCTACAAAAGCTTACTTGAATGGCACCAAAGGTCAAGGTCAGGGCATAACAGCGATTGCTCCATCTTAAACCTGTGCTGCAAACTTTTGTTTTTCTGCATCCCAATTTCCTCCAAAATGCTCTTTGATGTGGCGTTTCTATACTTTTATTTGTTAGCCACTTTGACGTCAACAAGATTACGGGAATGTTTCTCCTCTCCCTCTTCAAGTCCTCTGAGAGAGAAAAATTGAATTGAGAAGAAGTCAAAACAAAAAACTGTCAGTTTTTCCATTTGCCTTTACCTTCCATGATACATTAGTAGTGAAGGTGGATTAAAAAGGCGAAGTGGTGAAATATTTGATTTCCTGTGCCTCGAAGAGAGGCCAATCGACGCAATTTATTCATGCCAAGAGCAGACATAAGTCGATGTGTGCCTGCCTGTGGAGTGAATACAACGTCCAAGAGAAATTGGAGCAGCGGTGTCGTATTACAACGCACTGCTTCCGGTTTCTCGTTAGGGGGAGGAGGCAGAGAAGAAAGGGGGAGGTCATTTTGTCTGCACAAGAAATAATTAACGACACTAAAAAATTTTTTAAATTGACGACACTGGCATGATATTTGTCATTTAACACCACCCTAATCGCGTGTAGTGTCGGTCATGCTATAGATTTGAGATTTTGGCTTAAAGTTTGGCAGATTCTTTGCGGTTAGAAAGCCTGACCCACCCTAATTGAGGTGGCAAAACACACCGCTTGCATTCTTTGCCAATCAAGATGTAGTAGGGCTAAAAGAAATGTCGAATCCTAAGGATTACACAGCTCAATCGACAGGGCAACGCTAGGATGCGAAGCCGGTGTCTCATTAGGAGTAGACAGCTCTTTCTTCGACTTGGTGGTAAGTTTGAAATAACAACAAAACTCCAAGCCGATGTAGAGGAGGGTGCCCACCGTATCGATAGCTCCTTATTGTTATACAATTTCCTATCAAAACAAGCCATATTAACCAATCTTCAAGTTGAATTAAGATGCCTAAACTCGTAGATTTAACGAGTAGAGCGTTCAACATTAGTTGTTTTATCAGTGTGGCAACTATTGGGTGTTGTTTTGATGCACTTTTTTCAAGCAATTGAAGGTGCGCTTTAAGAGGCAACGAACCTTTGATCTGCCCCCGGTTTGCTCTTACATAACAGAAGGCGGTGTATTGATTTTGCCTAGGTGGCAGATCTCTTGTAGCCCTTTTCTCTACGCAAATGAGAAAGCATTTTCCACACCTCCAAACACCTTATAATGGGCTTTTGGGAATGTTTTTTCTTTTTTTGGATCGGACAAACTTGAAGACACTCTTTCACCACTTGTGGATTTAAGATTAAACCTTTTCGAAAAAGTAAAGAATTACGACTCAGATGACCTTTATTAGACCAAAAGCCCTTTGACTCATTTGTTATTGCTGTAAGGGCTTACTAAAGAAGCTTATGGAATCGATAAACTTGCTGTTCTTGCAACTAGGCGGATATGAAGTGCATCAATGCCAAAGTGCGGCTTTTGTGTGGTTAAATTGTAGAGCAGTTCGATGTATTTCGACTCCTAACATACAGCTCCATTTGCAGCTCCTATTCACATTGTTCTCTTACAAAGAACCGAAACGAAACAGCCCTCCAAGTTAAGTTCTTACTTACCAGAAAAAAAAAAACACATGGGAAACTATCTGCCATACCTCCACAAGCTTGCAACTTTCTATTGTTTGCATTAACAGGTATCAGTATTATTTGTTTAAAAGATTGTCCGTAAATGTCCTTCTTTCATGTAATGGTAATTTTTGTAGTAGGGGTGTGAAACCTAAATTCTATGCTTACTTTGACAACATATTTATATACACACTGTAATACTACTGAAATGTCAGGATCTGTTTTGTAAACAAGAGACCACGGCAGTACATTCCACTTAAATCCCAGAAATCAAGTAAAGCGTGTCATTTTCTTCACACACCAGGAACAGAAGGTTAATCAGAGTTGGAATCGCTTTAAAATTGATGACATCCTCGTAATTTTGTAGGTGCTGAAATGCTACTTAAACACTAATTGTTTTGCCAGTACGAAGTCATAGTGCCACATCCCAATAAACTATGGAAAACGGATAAGTTGTACTATTTTCCTCACGCACCAGGGTTGAAAGTTTAAAGGAACTTGGTCTTACTTCGAGCCGGTGATAACAGTGCAGATCTATGAGTACCAAGATACTACTTAAATGTCATAAGATGATTATTATAGATAGGAACTCATAGCATCACATCTCATTAAATCATAGAAAACAGGTAGAGTTTGTTTTTCTTTTCGCACACCAGAGACTAAAGCTTAATTTGAGTTGGAACTGCTCTAATCCTGCAGGTGGCAGTGAATGTGCTGGTAATGATGGCATTGGTGGAGACGAGGGTTACGTCAATGGCAAGTCAAAGATGTGGGTGTGTTGCGCATTTGTAGGTGATTGTAAGAGACAAGGAAACGACTCAGGATCCGAGGTAGATATCATCAAAACTGGCATGATAGGCAAGTGCATCCTTTGCATTGCTCTACGGCACATGTCACCCCTCTGGAGGCACCTAAGTAATTAATCGACGTTCCATTCGCACCACTTTTCAATGTCACCTTATGTATTTTCATTTATGAACCAAAAATAATAGCTGAATTGAGAAAGAGATCATGAAAATGAGTATCGTGTAAATCTATCAAATTCAAACATCGAGGATTAGTGTCTTTCCAGCCCCAAAGTGTGTGGAAAAATTTGTAGCTTTTTTTGCATTCTTGTGTTGCCTCCGTGGATGCGGTGGGTTAGCGAGAGCAGATGCTCTTACACAACCCCTCTTTTTCTACTAAATAGTCTACTCCCTAATGCTCCCATCTAAACTGTTATTAATGCTTGCTACAGTTACGCACGTAATCCATCAATCATGAAGTAGCACCAGTGTGCAACGACGATACGCTATTTATCTTCCTTCTCAGTAAGTAATTTTTTATAGCCTACTTAAAGTACTTTTGCAATAATTTAGTCAGTAAACTAACACGTGCATTGTTCAATCCTTAATGTTTCAACACCACCAACTTCGTAGTCGTCATGATGCGTGGAACACGAGACCAATAAAATGGGAAAAAAAAGTAAATTCACTAAGTGTAATAAGTCATTTGAGCGCGTAGGTGTCTCAGTTGGAGTGATGACTGATGACTGGGTGTAATGGCGCCTCTGTCTCTCTCTCTCTCTCTCTCTCCTTTTTTTAGTCCTCGCAGTCGTACTCATGACCTTTCAGGCGTTTCAATACCACAATGTCCTGAAGATTGGGTGATTTTTCCCCTCCACCCTCCGCCTCTGCCTCCTCCGCCTTTGTATTGGGCACTGAAGTTGAGGTATCTTGAAGAAGGCCTTGGTAGTGTCGTATGCTAGCACCCAACGATGAGGATTCAACCTCATCAAAAAGTTCGTGATGAGCAGCACTTAAATACTTGCGTTGACGACGTTGTAACATCTCTCGGTAGCAGCGTCGATTCACCTAAGCACATACAAACCATCGATACTTCAAGCAAGCCTATCAATCATGTATGTCACCCAAACTAGTGTGACAGTTCAAATCACTTGGAGAGGCTTTCTTTCTGTCTTTCTCCCTCTCTCAGTGCTTCAAAAAATCACAGAATTAAAATTTTCTAACCTCAAAGTTTATTTCCTCTTCTTGCATTTCCAGTTAAAGTTATGCATTAAATAGGGAGAGAAGGTCGAAAGTGATGCAATGTTGGCACTATTATTGCATTATTGTGAAATATTTCGTGTGAAACAGTCCTCAATGAGACCTAAACGGAGGCTCACTGAAAAAGAAAGCAATCTAATTTGAATTGCTTGAAAAATTGTCCTAAATCAATTTCCAATGAGACCAAGGTCGAGGGGAAGGGAGGGGAGGAGAGGAGTGAGCAAGCGAACAGGGAGCAGGACTGGGAAAGGGCCAACACCATTTTTGTAGGAAAACAAATGAATTAACTATCTTAACTGTGAAATGTAGATCTGTGTTAAAGTCTTTGTCAAAGAAAATTGAACATTATCAAAATATAGATGAATATGTGGCATCTGTGGTGAAATTTCTAAAGTGGGAACCATGGATTTAAAAATAATAGATCTTTTGGTTAGGCGCCACCTAAAGGAAGACAAAAAAGGCGAGAGACATCTTAGCATGCAAAAATGTGAACTCTATGCTTCTACTGAGGAGGTAAAAGTATCCACACTGTGACAATGAACAGCGAGGCGTTATTGTCATAAGTCTTGGTTCAGAGTGAGTAAAATTTCCTTAAAAGCTGTTACCAATAGGATGTGGTACACTAGGTCTTTACTGTGCTCACCATCTCCTTCTTGCTTCTCCCCTCATCTTGTAATGCAATAGAAGACAACTGTCAGTGTCACGTTAACATCACTGCACTGACACGGTGTGTCTCAACGATATCAAGTGCACATACAGTACTCCACCTCCTGTCTGCCCTTCGCTACCGACTGTGATACACATCTGTACATCCGCATGTCAATCGGAAATAATTGCCCACCTTTGTAGCGGCTTCAATTCAAGTAGAAGAAACTCACCTCCTCGGCCTGCAACCATCCAATGGTTGGATGCTGTAATTACTGCCTTGCACAAAAACTAGCTTCTAAACAAAAGAGCCTGTGTGAATGGTGGACACCGGGTGGGCTGACCTTCGGACCAGGCCAAAGTTGCACCACAAAAACAACATTGAGGGAAGCGAGATATCGAGTTAGACATTATTAAGCCCTTCATTTAACAATGACACTCATTTAGCCTAAATGTCAGCAAGTGTAGTGAGCATTTCCCAATTCGTCAGTTGCTGGACACGTTTCTAGCCTCCTTTTGGCTAACGATGTGCTTAACGGGGCATTCATTTGTGTTAAAAGGTTTCGCTCATAGCCATGACGCTTGTAAAGCACTTCTCTTGCACGGAATGATGTCCGTCCACGTGGTAGACGCCTCCACCGATCGTTGTGTACAACGAAGTATTGATAAGATTTTTCACACAAGTGTGTGAATGTGTAGAAATGTGATAAGTAAGTGGAACAGCAACATAAGTGAATAGCTGCCTCGTAATTAAATGTGCGCATTACAGCACTTTTACCGTGAACAAGGGCGACGAAACCCTGGGAAGCCGACAAATGCTAAATTTTCAAATCAACCTTCAAACACTCTTTCTCGTTGCATTTTCAGGCCTAGTGAAATGCTTCAGTGTAGTCGAATCCATTACACCCAACGCAAAAGGAGAGATGATGAGAGAAAAGGAGTTGCTGCAAGGTGACCACCAAATCACTCTCGCTTCCATCCACACAACATGACTGGACTGGACTGGAGCATCTATCACCATCAAATGCGTGAAGGCGGGAGTCGACCTGAAGGAAGTAGAGGTGTGCAAACGCCTTCTGTTTTCCAACGATCAACCACCACAAAGGTTAACTGAATAAGGCATTATAGGTGATCGAGGGCTTACAAATTCACTGCTGCTATTTAAGTAGTCTAGTGGTAAACAAAAGTAACCGTAATGGGACCTCATTATATGACATTAGTTGTGGATTTTGTTGCCTCCTTCGTAAAAAGCACTATTATGGAGCTGGAAAAACGATTGGATGCAACGGATTTTCAGCAAAGGCCCACAAACTGGACAACTCTCCAACCAATAGGAAGAGGAGAGCAAGTGTCGCCATTTAAAGGAAAATTGCAGAATTATAACAAAATTCTTCAAATTGAGATTCAAGGTAAATATTGTGACCTAAGGCTGCTGTGCACACTTTGGAGCGGCTTCTATGTTAACACAAAAGTGGTACCAAGGAAGAAAGCAAGAGTGAAATTCACCTCAGGAATGAGAAAATTGTAGACAAGTTCAGCGGCCTCTTCTTCATGCGTCAGTCGTTGTTCAGCACACCATATTTCATTAGGCCACTGCTCAGCTATTTTCTCGAATTCCTCGGAGGCCTTCAATTCTGCACAAGTCTCCATGGCGCTGGTAATGAGAGCTGAGAAGTAACCGTCTACTGTATCTTGATGAACCATACGTACCTTTAAAAAGACAATTTAGCATGAATGATATCGTGGTGGAAGGAATGCCAAAGCAATAACCAAAACCCTCTGTAAAATTCATTTCTAACGGTGATGGTCTCGGGAAGCCAGCAGATGGAGTGCTTGTTTGGAGTACGCAAACTGTATAATTGAGTGAATTCGCTCAAAAAGTACCTGCCGGAAGAATTCATCCCGTTCTCGTCTGCGACGCACTTCCCACTGTCGTCTACCGAATTCTTCGACCTCACGCATTCGACGCTCTTCGCGTGCACGTTGAGCGTATTCGTGAAGGCGTTGGTCCACTAAGAGACGATCCAGTTCCTTGCTTAGGAGATCCAACATCGCTCCCAGCACCGTGGAATCCAACCGTTCCAAAATCTCATGTACTATACTATTCTGCAAGTGGCAATGGAAATTAAATCTTAACTGAAGGGAATTTCCTTCAAGGTCGTATATGTGAATGCACAGAACTTCGGAATTTTCTTTAATGAACTCCTACAGGTACAGACCTGTGGAAATGAATGGGCTCTTGCCACTGAGAATGTACAACAGTGGCTCTACATTAACAGTTTTTGTGGAAAAAAGCCACATTTTAGCCTGTCTTTACCATGATCCATGTTACTTGTGTAAAATAATTAACAAAACAGTTGTTTGGACAAATAATATTCGGATGATTGATAGCAAAGCGGAGTTGCTAATCGTTCAGAAGAACTTTCGAGACAAGACACTGATTATGTACAATCCGTCCGAATAGAACTTTCTGATTTCAACATTAAGGACGTCATTTACAATTGAAGCTCATCACAGCCTGACTTAATATCGGTTATTTGCCGAGTAGAGACACTAATTACTTCATATCACTAACGTTAACCATCATTTATTCTAAGCTTTAGCAATCAAGAATTCGTTTGTCATCAATTTCGGCGTTATTTACTCACTTCATGCTGTAAGTACGCATAGCGCGTTTGATTGGTTCGGATGGTCAGCATTTGGCGGCGCTTTTCAGCGCGCTCCTCCTTCGTCAGTGCGTGGGTGGAGCGCAATTCGTTGATGAGTAACTGGCGCTTCTTTCTCGACTCATACATCATCGTTTGGAGCGCACGACCTCGAATCAGTCTTTGTAAATGCATCACAGCAACTTCTCCTGCATCTCGTACCCTCTAGGCGTCCAAAAACGTGTCATGCTAATTACCACATTTCTTACAACTCACTGTTATGACACCTACATCAACTTCGGGCACCGATGGAGTTGAGGGGCGCGGAGCAGGTTTTTCAATTTTGAGTAGGAAATGCAAAGGCTTTGGAGGATTGATGGTTTTCATGCCCAGAGAAACCATGTGCTAAAATTGTACGTTTCCGAAAAATTAAACTTCCCTACTTAAATATTTTAGTAGGGTATTATTTGCAAAATACCTTGTGCAGAAACTCAAGTTGTGTCTGCCATCGGAATTGCTGTTTAAGGTAACCGTCTTTAGTGCAACGAGAAAGCTTTTTCACCGTAATCTTGGCATCTACCTCACTTTCTGGAATGAATTTTTCCAGTTCAAGAAGACCTGCATTCAGGGATGGGGCTGTCACTTATCGGTATGTCATTCGTAGCGTTTTGACATTCACTAGAGATATCTGCATCCCAAAACTTGAGTTCTATAAATTTATACTCGACCAGCATGAGTACAATCTTAATAAAAATGAGTACATAGAGGTATCCAGAAGATCAATTATTTATTTTGCAATCCAATTGAACGGAAACCCCACGTTTACCTACAAATTCCAGTAGCACTGAAGCTGCTGAGGCTCACCTGAATAGGTGTTGAGAAACTTGCTGTGCGTCTTAAAGCGTTCAGCCCCACGATCAGGAAAAACGCCGAGTCGCGTGAGAGGCGCAAAAGCCTGAGATCCAGGTTTCGCATATTGCTCAATTTTGTCGGGTTTCAGGGATCTTTGTCTCCGCTCCATGGCGCACAACATCTTTCGAATGGCTGTAACACAAACAATCAGCCAAAAGTAAGGGCAGAGTGCAATCATTAATGCTTGTGATTCCCTTTTATATGAAATTGATGACACTCATTTACCAGATGCATATTCAGAGCGAATTTTCTTAACGATCTCCGACTTCTCTTTCTGTCGACGGTTCCAACGTCGGTCAAGCCGTTTCTCATTAATTTCTTGACGATTCTCCTCCCGAATACGGAGCAACTGAGCTATCACTTGCAGACGAATCTCCTGCAATCTACACAAATGGTTCTTTATCGTTTGGTCAAGCAATTTGAAGAACGGTTTTTTACCTTTATTCCAACGCCTACTTTGCTTTTAACCATAACTAAATCTGATGGATTCCACAGCAAAATTTGATAAAAATAAATAATCAAAGTAAAAAAATCATGCCTAAAGTGAATCAATGCGAAGTAGACATTGCCTCGCAGAATCACACAAATCCTCATTTGTTTCCTGCCATAGAATCAACTGGTTTAATAAATAGTTCTAACAAGTCAGCTAAATCCTTACTCGAGAGAGCAACTGAACGAAACCCAACATGCAACTTCTTGGTAGCGATAGCAGGACATAGCCGAGAAACAATATCACAACTGAAGAGATTAAGTCTTCTGCTTAAAAGCAGTGGTAGCGATGAGGTGTCAGGTCAGCATGTTTATGATGCCAAGTAGATAAGAAAATGAATTACGCCTCAATTTCCCGAGCCCTATGGCGCCATTCATCCAGCTCCATTTTGTTCCTTAGTCGAGTTCGATAAGCTGATAGAAGGCTTTCCATCTGAGCTTCCACAAGTCTTCTCTCCTCAGCTCGCCCAATTAGTTCCACTTCATTTTGACCAACTGGTAGGCCGTTGCCAAAAGTCAGATGCGACAAAAGCAAAACTTTTGGGTTTTGACCAATGGGCATGACGTAATCAGGTGAATAGGGATCTGTCTGTGCCTCTGACTCTCGCCATTGTGTTTGTATACCGTAATCTCGTCGTCCGCCACCAAAGGAAGAAGAATAATTTAGTGCGTCCAATTGACAAGTTTCGTTCTCCAGAGCAGTCCTTAGCTGAAATTCTTTAATTGCCTAGAAATACTTTTCTGGTTATCATCGGAAGTCAACATTGAAACACCTTATATTTATTACATTCATAAGGCACTAAACCAAATTCTCTGATTTTGCAGACGAGTCCTTCAAAATCAATTTCAATACGAAAAGTTAGCATTAATTTACAGCTTGGTATGCAAAGATTCTTTAAGAAATAAATGTAAATTATCTCGACATGGGTGGAACTCGATTAAATCAACAAGCGCTATTGGATGGAATTGACCAAATTTCCACTAATGACTATTTTGGTATGTGATTCATGACATACGGATAGTCCCAGCCCAGATTTCGGCACACCATAATATCTTGCTCGAAAAATGCCAAGTACGGAATAGTGGTCGAGGAATTTGAGTCTAAAATAATCTTTGTGTGTTTAAATTACTTCAGGTCGCCCATCGATGTCCGTTCGGCTGCGTTGAGGCTGGGGTCGTCGTTTGAATGGCATTCTACTCTCCCAAAAGGTCTCAAGAATTCCCCAATCCCAAACCCTTTGTGAGGCGCTGACCTTTTGAAGCAACCTTGAGCAGATGCAATGGCACTCAGTATACCTAGCTCACACTCAAAAATTAAGCCAAGTCCCCATGTCCCACCTTTTACAAACTTACCATGCAATGAATCACTTACTCCTTGTTCTTTACTTGGCTTGGTGAACATTTGCACCTTTCCCCATACGGCTATGCGGCGAAGTGTTGCTACAATACACTGGAAAATTGAAACAGCGCAAGGCCATCGGTGCTACCTAAAAAAGTCGATGTAGTAGTAATTACCGTTTTAACAGCTGTGAAACTGTGCAGCATTATTTAAACTAATTCGCTTTAAGCTGTATATTTGAATGTAACGTGAATTTTAGCTCCTATTATGTTTGGCAAGCAGGCAGAGCATACTGTGCCTAGAATTAGTTTGTGTGCAATTTTTCCGACTCTTAAAAACTTTCTTTATTTTATAAATGGAACACTATGGCGTCTCGGGACTTTTCATAGGGTGGAAAAAGGCAGTAAGTGAATTGGATACATGTATTCCAAAGAGAACAAAGTAACTGAGCTTGAGCGTAGCCCGCAGGCCAGCCCACGACTTCAAGGACCAGAAAAATCCTTAAGTGATCGCTAAATGTCATGTATTCACATGAACAAAGTATTATATTGAGATCTTCACCAGGTGGGATATAGCAAGTGGAGGTGAATACATATTTAATGCTTTATTTATGTAGCTACCTGACGTTCGACGGTCATTTTAGAATTTGTCTGGCTCTTGTACTCGTGGGCTGGCCTTCGGACCATGTCCAGGCCCATTTGTCCTGTTGTCTTCAGAATACATGTATACAGCTGCACTTACTGACTGACGTCTTGGGACGCAACACATGTATTTCAAGAAGGACTAAAGGATTTGGTCTGAGCTTGGCCCGACAGCCAAACGAATCTCAAAGTAACCACCTGACATCAAATGGTTACATAAACAAAGCATTACACTGCCTTTCTCTTCTTTTGAGCGACATCTAGAGCGTTCTCCTTGGTACCACCCCATGCCATCAATCCTAACAACGCCATTCAACAGCTACCATGAGCCTAAGGATTCCTACTTGGTCTCCTCGACATCTTTAACTGGACCTGGAATTACATTCGATCAGACAGCCACATTCGGGACCACACACACCTGTTGACCATCAAATGCCTCTAGAACTAAACGGCCCTCGGGTCTGAAACAGACGTGTTACGGACTCAGGCCTAGTCCCACATATAAGGAAATCTATAGTGTCGTTTCCGATATCCATACACGGTAGTTGGGGATGTTCCAACATGATTTATTTCTAGATGGTTCACGGTGGTTTGGTTTCGGCCGTTGATAGCTTGTCTGTGTGATACGAGTCATACATTTTACTTTTACTTTTTAAAACGCACCTTGTAGGTGCGGGGTGAAATCCCGTTTCCATCACTGTGCCTGGGAAGACTGGCGTGGCCTCATAACAAGATTAGAGTCCATATTCCTCTCGTCTTGTGCTCTACACCTCGCAAGGTTTAGGGCCTATGGCTAATGAAACACCCAAAGAGGAAGATAGATTTCTGTAAAGCCAATCAAACTGAAAAATTAGCACCTACTACTGAGCGATACGAGCATTTACCATATTTGATGAAAATAAAGCCACGTTGACAAGCAAAGTTAAAGAGCACATCACAGGGATCCCCAAATCATGACGATTTTTATTACCAACATCAGTAGCGTCCACTTGGTTGGCGATAGTTCCTCAGCCACAAGTTCACCCTCTTTGCCTTTATTCCTCTTGTGCATAGAGAAGTCTCAAGACGATACACATACGACCTATGAGACTTTTTCCGTGAAAATTGTGCACGCTTTTGAAAGCAACATCAAAATTAACCACGCATAAAACATTAAGTAACGTCGAGCTTCTGTTCGATTCTAGTAAAAGAAAGCCTTCGCTTTTTTTTGTACTTTAAATTTGAATAAGGCATCTCGAGAATTGTATGGTCTGGAGTATCTGGTTCCTTCTTTCCTTTACTTGAAATGGCTTGTGTCACCGCGTAGTCCTCTCGTGTGGCCTCTTTTTGGTATCCATCAGTTAGTTCAACACGGCCTTTCTCACAGGTTAGTAAAGTAAAAAGACTTGATTGTAGCTCTTCGTAGAACTTGGCCTCCTCTTGTTCCGCCTTTGCAGCTTGGATTTGGTAAATGTTTCCCGAGCGGAGAGCGGTGCTCATCCTCTTCTGCCAACTTGGTCGTACATCTCCACGCACTTTGCAGCACTTTCGTGCAAAGTGACGTATCTTTAATAATTGCAAAGTGTATTACATTAAGGGAATTATGGAAGTGCTTTGTAGATATAGAGCAATGTTATTGGCATGTTTTTGTAGAAAAGATATTTTCAATCAATCAAAGAATTGTTCACCGGAATTGTCACAACCCTTGCACTAAGACAAGAAATATTTTTTTTTAATTTAAGTGCAAATGCCTTTTAATTAACCACTAGAGCTTCCAGGTCTTTGAAGCACATCAATGATTCGTTAGGAAGTGACCTCGGTTGCAATCCAAAATGATAGAGATTTCGTCCTCTACCATCACAAATAAAGAGCCACATAAACACATACTTAGGAGGTTAAAACCAAGTAGATACACTAGGCTAGAGGACCAACATTGTGGTGGAGAACTCTCAAATGCCGGTACATCCAGTTCAGCAATCTCCTGATGATTGTTTGTCTTCGAGATGCATACGCCGTTCTTCGACTGGCAGTACCAATTATGAAGGTGGTTATTGCAACCATCAGTGCTAGAGCTAAAGCTATCAAAATCATCGTGAAGAGTTCCTCAATGGAGAAAGTCAACTGTGTTATTTCCTAAAAACGAGGGTAAACATTTTTTTTAGTAGAGTTCACGTCAAAAGATAAAATAGTTGGGGCCGCACACACCTTGAAAAGTCCCTCGGCTGTCTCTTGTTGAATTAATAGGAGAGGATCAGGTGCCAAATGTCGTAGCACCTCCTTTTCACTGATAGGAGCATATTCACCCTCATGATCTAAAATTTTGCCGATTTTTGTGGATCTAGGTACCGCTTCAGGTACCAAGTCAATCGCTTTGTAAGCTAGGCGCTAAAATTCCACAAACAAGGAAAAAGAAATTACTACAAAACATGCATGTCCAATCATCTGTTTCATTCAATTTTGGCCATTTACGGTGGTTTCAAAGGTATCAAGTCTATGTGTGACCCATTTATGACCTGTTAATGTAGCCTATCTCGTGAAGGCAGCCAACGCACTTGATGATGTGTCAAACCTGGCAAAGGAAAAGCAAATAGATGTACAAATCGTTAGCTACTTTATAACATCTAAGCACTCTCCAATTGCACTACTTGAAACATGTCCTAAAAAGTTAGATTTTTTTAATTTAAGCAAAAATGAGGTATTTCTCTGATACTATCCGCTACCAGCTATTAACAGGCAGGCACTCAAGTTTTTCGCAACACAGTGGACATTATTGTAGGAACTGATGGTGCTCACTTCGCGTTCTTGGTCAAGCAGATGGTTTGTGCAATGAATGGAGGATCGAGCAGGCAAAAGCCCAGTAGTGTTACGTACATCCGGACACGGTAGACATTCGTCTGAGGCTGTATCTGGATCCGAGAATGTGTCCTTGGGACAGGGCTCACACTAGAATAAATTATCACATACCCGGGCAACCAACATTCTGTATTGAGTCAAATTTTGCGTTTCATCTTGTTGAAGTTAGAACTGTAACGTACAATGAGTGTTTAAAATATCCTTTGCAGGTGGGAGACGCCTAACCAATTCGAATGGTGTTCTGAAAGAGTGACACACTCGCACTACCTTCATACCCTTCCCCTCTGACTTCCTAACTCTTATTATGCCTAATGAGGCCTCTCAGAGAAGATCTTCTTCAGAAGATCCTAGAGGAAGGGCCCGGAGCGTAGACTAGGAACTATCAAGAGAGAGCAGATCACAGTCTCCTCCGGATATGAAGTGACTTAACCATCTGTGAAATAAAGACAAGTAAAAAAGAGCTGGTTGCGTAAAATTTGCTTCATCAAGGCAGGACCTCCAATTATGTTTAATTAGCTTCCTTTTTGACTTTAGGAAAAGCTATCGCCATGGGGTGATTCAACTTTACTAACGGCCGTATACTTAACACTGCTTTGACCTGTAGTTTCCTTCTTACAATCAAAGTAGTAAAATGTTGATGCTAATACCTTTGTACGGTTTATTTGCCCTATCTCTCACCTTATGTGGAGGGATTTTGCTCATAAAGTAACCTGGAGAACAGGCACGAGAATGTGAAGCCGCTGCAGCAAATGGAGCCACTTTGACATCGGGGGATTCTAATTTGAACTCTCGGCAACCTTGGAATACTGGATAGACATGCAACTGAACGAGATCCACTCCTGTGTTCTGTTCATCAATCTTCACCCGACAGGTTGGACTGCGACAGGTGAAAAGCGTTTTGAAATGCATAACGAAAATCAGTCCCGTTGGTTTCAGACATTAGATTTCGCCATCAGATCCTTAAATATGACTCCTCTTTTGATGACACAATGCTTAAATCTTCCAAAAGCGTCTCTGTCAAGTGGAAGGAAGCACAAAGGAATCACCACATTTTGCAGCAAACTTTGTGCTCTGCGTGGATCACACTAAGAGAGGATTCCTTGCCAAACCTTATACACCAACATGGACGAAAATTTGGAATCCGGATCATTCATTTTAAGGGTGAGGGAAATATTCTAAGAAAACGGTAAGAACTCACCTCATCAGAAACAATAATGAGTCCTCCTGGCAAAGCAAGTCACCATAGTTCTGCAAATTTACTCTGTTGAACCACTTTTCTGGGAAAACGAAATGATCATTTTTAAAAGTAGGTCTTTTTGAAGAAACGTGCTGGTTAACAACATCGTCTGAGGTTAGAATTGTATCAGCTGTATCTCTCTTATAACATGATTGTATGGGTAAACTGTATGAAATGTCCATAGTCTCCTACCTTGAGCCTGTATTTCGCCATTACATGAATGAACCAATTCTGTAAATTGAAAAAGGGTATTTAATGAATTGCTCCATTTAAAGATACGAATTCGCCCAATCATCCTGAAGCAGGGACTTACTTTCGGAGTCGTAAATGTTCCAGATTTGAGCATAGAGAAGAATGAACGTGGAATAGGGACAGCGCGATGAGAGGATCACCTCTTTGCCTGGTCCATTGGTCACTAGGAGTGGTGATTAGGGCAAGGATACTTTGATGCTGAAAATGTATCTCACTTTCAAATAATAATGATAAATTTAGAATGAAAGGCCCTTGTAATAAAAGAGAAAACACCTGAAAATTCGCAGGAACTGAAAATGTTTACTGGTTATGTGGATATCTTACACTGAATATTTGCATTCAGTGTCTTCGGGATGGACAACCTGGGATCGCAGGGCACAGGTTCGTTCTCTAAAATTAGTAGATTAAAAGGACGTTTGAAGGATTAGCACTTAAGAGTGAGCATGGATAGACGCTGAAACTCTCCCATCAAACAGTGCATGAGCAAGGCAATTATGGAAGACAGGTGCTTGGACAACTCGAGACAATTAAGGGGCCAAAGCCGATTGCACTCTTAAACAAATGTGTTGTTTGGCACTCTCTTGTAGTAATCACCGTACTACTTTGCTTATCTGACAATATTTGAACTCTACCTTTCTTTTAGCCTCCAGGGCAGGCCACAGCCTCGCTTCTACTCTTTCCGGGTGAATGCAAGTATTCAGTTGTCTAGTGCCTTCTACTGCCAAACGGGATGTCTTGAGACATTACACTCACAGTTCCTTAAGTGTAATTTGTAATTGAGAGGTGTTAAAGCAGAACTCGAGCCCCCTAAGGGTTAACGACAAGGCTCTTTCAAACCAGTCACCTGCCGCCTATGTCTCCAGCGTCAAATATAGAGCCTCAGAATAGGATAATGCCACGTAATCAATCCGAATGCAGGGAAGATGAAGGAAGAAATTAGTCTCTACACTTCCGGATGTTTTTAAACATGCAGCTACTTTAGTCTGAGTGGATTTTGCTCTCATTTCTACCATTTCTCACTTTCGCTGTGGTTCAGTAATACGCCTTCATCCTTTGGTCTTATCGTGACAGCAAAATTCAGACTCTTTAGTCTGAATTAGGGAACCACTTACCGATAATACAAACAAATTGGCTGGGATTGCTGCCCACGTGTGGGGCAACTTTGTTGGCCTCTGCGCAAACCGTTTGACAGAGGCGGAAATCGGCAGCATAAAAGAACTTCCTTTAGAAGAAAAAATAATTTTTTATTGTCAACTGACTTTCTATTTGCAGCAAAAGAGTATACGTTAGAGCACTGTGGAAAACCATTATTGGTTATTTTTAAGTTGTGCAATTGTCACTTTGTTTACTCTTCAAATAAACAACCAGTCCTGTAGGTTGGACGTGAATAGAATAAAACGTCTTCAAATGCAGTTTCTACAATAGATCCGGCGCCCTTCCATGCCATCTTCAGGCCCATCTATTGATGGTCTAGGCTAACTTTAAAGTTAGTGCGCTACCAACTGTCAGCCACCGTAGGAAGAACGAAATGCCCATTCCATAATGTAGTAATTTCTATTTAGCACTGATAAATAATACGAACATTGAGGTAGATCACATACTTTGCATCCCTTGGAAAGTTAATGGGTATTGATGTCGTTTTGGAAGGATCCAGAGATGAATTTGGGCGGAATGGCGGAAGCATTGACGTTTTCCGGCAAGGCTGGGATACCATCGACCACGCTAAGTGTCTCCGTGAGACACAGCCGCTTGACAGGTCATAGATTGGCCAATTGTAGAACTGGTATTTATTAAAAATCAGACCTTATCACTCATACTCGAGCTTCTTTGTATTATATCGTTAGAGACGCAAAGCCACTATTTGAAGAGCAGTGGGAAAATTATGGATGCTTCGGCAACCTTACAAAATGAACGTATAGTAAAATAAAGCGCACATTCTTCCTCTGAGTTATTTGTTTCCTGAAACAAAATATGCAACAATATTAGGGTTGAGTGTTACTTAAAAGTGCAAAGGTAGCATAGATGTAACATGGAAAAAATAGTAAAAAGTATGTATAATAGTGCCGACAAAACTGTCTTAAATTGTAGTAAGTAGTCCAACTCCGTCCCCTTAACGACTGTTTTATATCCAATTCTGTTACATCGCGTATATCCAATTTCCCGGTATACCCAGTACCACAGACCGAGAGACCTGGAATCTTTTAAGAGCTAATGTTCGATGAAGACCAATTAACTTTGCAAGATTTATGCAGGAATGGGAGCGTTTTGCGTTCTGCTTCATTCTCATCAGCAGATGAGGCCGCTGTTTTGGGGTCATCGTATTCTTACCACGGCGGTTATAGAACTTAGCGGGACCCAGACTCTCACGGATGCCGACACCTGCTGGCAAATTCCACAGGGCTTGCGTACATACAACGAGAAATACCTCAATTCTTGATCGCTTTTTAAGAAACCTCTAATGCTGCCATGACCTACATTGCAAAAGGAACTTGTCGTACTAGTTATGAGTTTGTTACCAAAAGTGGCCAAAGCTTTTCATTGAAGTCTAGATGTCTTGAGAGAACATATGTATCGTCTGCCTCGCCTTCGTAGTCTGCTGTATCATCCGACTCTAGAGCAAATTATGGTATTTTGGAACTGGAGAGTTGCCTATTCACCAGTCTCCAAAACGGTGAAAATCGTAATGGTCGTTAAAAGTTGAAACCATGCCCTAGAGACACAACAATATTGGTGACTTTTGTGTATCTGACAAAAGCAATTTTTGTGTGTAACACTTACTCTGACAATTAATTCGAACATTCTGCTTCGCGGCTGGGCGAATGCACCTGCAAGGACCAAAAACTCAGTTGCCTGAAAGAAGTTTGTAGCCGAAGGCTGCAGTTGCGGAAGGGGGTAAGTGCCCAAAATCAGAAGGTGACCATCCCGGAACAGTTGAACCCGACGGTCGGAAGTGCCAGTGTTGAGAGAGAATTCGGGTCCGTCAAGAATGAGAGCGAATGAAGATGACGTTTCGTTGAGAAATACTTGTTTCGGCAAAATGTAGACGGAGTGGGTCAACACTGTATTCAGTTCAACATTAATGGACAACTAAAAAGTAACAAAAAGTAGCTTCATTTGAGTCATAAAGTAATTTTATCATCAATTTTAAAGGCTGCAAAGAGGAGCAAGATTCAAGCCTTGTATTTAGGAAGAGAACGGGTTAGAATGGCTTGCTTCGAAGATCAGCCATGCAGCCAAGAGCAAAATGAATATCAAAGCACTTAAACTCTAATTATTCAGCCCTGCTTCATACTTTCCCTTGCCTGTTAGAAGCTGTAGGAACAAAGCTGCAAAATCAACTTTGCTACGGCTTATATCTTAGTCTTCATCGTTTATGAGAAAATTTTGTGTTGCAAATGAGGAGAGCCACAGAAGGAGAATCCCTCACCTCTCCAAAACAGAAGGGCTGAGAACGACGTCAGCGTTTGCCATCACCTAATTATCGTGTTCCACGAACAAGCTATTAACTACTTAAATCATACTACTGCAAGCCATCAGGAAAAAATTTTCTTGCGGTTCTCCATTTAGCGTTTGAGGGTAACCGTCACCGGTGAGACTATACAGAATCTCCATTGAAACGAGACCGTGTTTGGTCACTTTTTCTTTATTCCACATCCGTTTTGGACCAGTGTGTCGTCTAATCAAAAACACAATTGATGGTCAACAGAAAAGCCCACTCCCAATTTCTGATTTTCAGGCCAAACATAACTGCAGGTCCAGTTGAAGCCGCCAAGATAACTAGCGAGGCTGGTTTGTGGTCTGACGACGTCGAATACGTTGCGATGGCTGACTAAATTTCTAGCAACGGGAACACCGAGGTTGTTGTTCAAAAGAATGGAAGGGCAATGCATTTAACTGCCTATTTGACTGCCTGTGTGAATGGTGATGTTCATTTGATGTTGGTCACATGGACTGAAGTTAGGACCAAACCAAGGCCCACTAAAATGGGAGTCTCGGGGCGTTAAAGCTTCATTATTGTTTCCAAATATATGCCTCAAGCCATTTTAAGGAGAGGGATATCCCATTGCGTGGTAGCTAAAAATTTTTCGAAAATTTTCCACGATTTATGCCTGCGGGCCACACGATGCACCCAATTAAACTTTTCATGAAGCTTTCCAACAGCAGTGAAATGAAGCCTCCTTCGTGATAACAACTTCATGTGCTACACTACCTTTGGCGACGAGGAAGAGCTCGATTTGTGGAAACGAAATCGTCACTCCACTGGACAGCAAATCGTATTAGTGATAAAAGATTAGAACATTTAACCAAAAGCAGGCGTCATCTACGCTAGCTGAGAATATTTCAGAACAATTTTCTTAGCTAACCGTGCAATTGGTATCGCCACAGTCAAATAGCATGCACACAGAAGACGATTTTGCTGAGTTGATGATCACTTGAATGCTACGGATACGGAGTTGGGGAGCAGCTTCCATCTGCATGACTGTCTTCCTCCAATGCACCGACCACATGACTGTCAATCCTTGGAACGGGTAGATGAATGTTCCTAGAGGTAGGCGACCTAGAAGGTTTAAAGTAACATCTTTGTTTCTTTTAATAAACAAACAAAATTGTGTTTAAAATCCTGGTAACAGAATGGGACAAAGGTTTGTTTAAACAGTGATGAAACATTCTGTTTGGAGGAAGAGGAAACAAACGACAAAAGTGCTCTCATTCCACTAAAATGCCCCATCAGTGACTAAAATGACGCGCATCCAGTGGAGGTCTGAGTTAAATCTTTACTTTCGCGCAGTCTTGCCAATGCATTATTTTTGCTCTTCATTTTAGACCTAGACGGCGTGTAAGGCTGAGTGGATGAGGAGGATGAATGTAATTTCAACGCTTTTGCTTTACTAAAGAAGGAGTTCTTGGCGACCGAAATTCCACTAAGCTCCGATGCTCTGTGAATTAGACTAACTATGTTGTTTTAACTTGTAGTAGTACTGATAAAGCCATCCGTTGGGGATCATGATCACCTATCTAATGAGATGAGCAGGTTTTTGTCGTACGGATTATCTCCAGAATGTTTGGACTACCGCATACGTTAGTACCTCAATCAGCTTGCACCTCTACCTGCAAAAAGGGAGCAAAAAGAGTACCTTGAACTCGAGATGCTTCTGGGGTACTCTTAACGCAAAACACGGGGGCATAGTAGACTTGGTGAGGTCTGTCCTGTTTTCTACAATGAGACAGGAAAGTTACGCAATGAGACAATAGGACAGACCGTATGATTATGTTGATAGTGTGGTGCTTTGATCGCAAAATGCGTGCCCACTTGGAAATGTGAACCCTATGCCATGCCTACAAGCCACGGAAATGTATCATTTGTCCTACTACTGTGATTTCGGGGCTAAAATATTGTTAATTTGGTGGAATAGGTGATAATTTAAGAGGTTCTTGCGCTTAGTCTTTTGGCAGCTACTGTATATTCCTTCTTTAGGGACTATCGCAACGAATTTTTGTGCTCCTTCATGACTTAGAGGCTTACAAAGATAACTTTCGACAAATCCTTCAATGAATGTTAAGGGAAAAGAGAGAAAAGGAACCGTGTATTACATAACTTTTGTTATAGATGTCCTTTGTAGGTGAGATTTGGCAAGTCAATTCAACCGTGGTACAGGAGGAGCGTGAGGACTACCCACGAGAATCGCAACAATACTTACTTACCCTCCTTTCCTGATAGTACCACTTACTGTGTCTTACAAAGCCTCTCAGAGAAGACTCCCTTTTGAAGAATTGTGGATAAAGGGTTCAGAGTAGCACTTAGAGCTGAGAGCTCAATGATTGTTTATTTGATGGGCATGGGGTGGCGATTAGAGTTCCTTGTAGTTAGCCTAGTGACAACTAATTTATGCAGGCTCTTTAGTAACCATCAGCACAAAATTTGTGCACCTTGGAGACTTGTAGATGCTTACGAAGGAAAACTTGTCAACAAACCTCCAAAATGACGTTGAGAGGAGAGAGGAAAGGTAAAAGAGGTCTGTATTTCGCCTCCACATGCGTGGGTAGGGAAGATTTTTCTCACCATCTCTGGAGCTCACAACGTTGAAGAGGTTTTCCAGTCTGCGACAACTCATCTAAAACCGGCAAAACATTTATCACTTCGTGAGCAAAACTATCACTGCATGATTGTTCATTCCGTTCATCATTGACATAATGTCAAGAAGTGAAAAGAGTGGTGTTATTGCAAACCGTGAACTCCGCTATGTGGTCGTAACAGCAGGAAGAACGAATGCCCACCTAAACGCTTGAATATTAGCGCTGTAAATGAAGACCACCTCAATGTGCTGGAATCTGTCTTGTTTTGAAAAATGCTATCTTTTGTCACCATGAGTAAAAAGGTAGCTTTTGGCAGTACACTATTGTGAAGGCTTGAGCTGTGCTAACTCGGTCCAAGTGGGCCTATAGCATCTCCTCAAGGCAGTTGAGAAGAGCTTTACTCACACACCTTAGGCCATGAGAACCAATGGGAAAGGTATATATCGACCCTTGCGCTTTTTAATACCTCAGACTTGTGAGGAAAGGCTGCAAACTATTTTAAGCCTAGGCGTCAGAAAGGCTAGTCAGTACTCACGGATGGGTGCGTGAATTCGAATCGCAACGTAGGCATCCATTGAAGCATATGCAAGAACGGATGTTCCACTGTGTCCTCCATCGATACTCGCCAGGGTTCTACTTCTTCGTTGCTTTCATAGTTCCTGTCTGTAGCTAAGATGCTCCCATTCTCAGCTAATACTGGAGTCAACGCAAACAACAGCGTCGCGGTCTGATACACATTTTGAATGAAAGTTTGGGTGGGTGATGGGACTGGGGCTTGCCTATAGACACGTTTGCTTTACTTTTCGATCCTTATTATTTTATTTTATGTTCGTCAGTAGTCGGTTATAGTTATTAATAATACAAGTTAAACTAAGAATTTAACTTTACAGCAAATCTAATAAACCTTTTCTTCATTACAAACCCTCACTTACTAATGAGTGATCAATATGCAATTGAAAAGGAGTTACCAGTGGAGTGAGTGTCCCCACGGAGGGCGCTGCGTACAATTTTGACTTCACACTGATGTTTTGCGCAAAGTAGCCTTGTCTCGCTAAGAAGACTCTCCTGGAGATATGGAAGCTGGAGTAGTTCTTCGCCTGTCGCAGTCTGAATTGGCGAAGATTTGAAAAGTATGCACAAATGACTTATGAGATGCAAGTTCGGAGTCTTGTGACGTGGACATTTGAAAAGTAGTTAATGATTCTCAAAACATTGCTTAAGAGGCGAAAGGTGGACCAGCGCTACTCCTTGAAGATTGTTGCATGAAATACCACCATCTCTTGTGCAAAGAAAATTGGCTGATCTTGGTGTTGTGCCTAGGAGTTCAGAACAAAGAGGAATTTTTTACGCAAGTATAATGCATTGCTGTTCAGAATGTTTACTTTCTCAAAGATTTTTAACAGATAAGGTTCTCCAAACATGTACCGAAGGAGAGCACAAAACCTCATGCGATGTTTGGCAGTGAGTTGTGAAGGCACGCTCAGGAGCTTTTAGTCTGCATCCATTTTGAAAAGATGTTTTGGAAAATCACGGTGAAACATTGCTCATTCAACTGCGTGCAGGAATGGATGCATCGGACCATGCTAAAATCCCCGTCTCTATTTTGCAAGAATGTAAGTATTTAGCCAAGTCTTGGGCATTCAAACAGGCAATGGAAAGTCTGGAAACCTACACTAGTGACTGCAGGAAGCGAACTCGTGTCCACCGATTTTTTGACGAAAGTTGTAATGCAAATAAAGGATGCAATCTCAGGAGTAAGAATATTTGAGTTTTCCACAGTTAAAGAAATGAAATCGATGTCTATTCCCGTATTCCACAGGGAAGGATTTAAAAACAGACTCGACACCCGCCGTAATACCTCGAAGAAAATTTTACTTAAGCATTGCTGCACCCAGGTCTGTCCCTATTTGTAGGTAATGCCGTTACGCTGACCCTCCCTCTTCCCCCCTTCGCATGCATGCATGCATAGGAGCCTGTGTTCAAACTCATATTTTCTAGTACAAATCAGTTTAGGGCCATTAATCCAACGACCTTCTCTACACAAATGATGGTCTATGGTAAGTGTGGGTGTATGGTGTAGCTGACTCGTGGGAACTTTCTACCAAGTTGAGAGTCAAATTTGTGGCTCAAAATAGAAGACTGGCTATGGTGCACTCTTCGTATTTGATTGCTGGTACAGACTGCGGTTTTTTAGGTGAGCATATTGCTTTTGGAGGATGGACCGACGCTCAGACCACATCAAAACTCTTTCCCTTGCGTCGGACAAAATGCACCCAGGCAAGCTTAATGCCTTCTAATAAACAATGGAGTCTCAGGACTCCATAATCGTAACTATAACAAATTGCTACAACGATTAATAACTCATTCCATGCGAATTCTGTGTTCAACTTTAGGGACCACTTCATAATAAATACACACTTTAGTTAGCATAGCCTTCACTTTAGGCGCAAAGTCGTTCTACCACACACTCAGTTATAGCTTAAACCAAAAAACCTTTACCCGTCACAATGAACGCTGAAGTTTGCATTCTTTTTCTAAAAATATGCACATATTCCTGTACTTTGTAAGCTCTGTTATACTAAGTTTTGGAAAGGTATGATTGCCAACAGTGTAAGCAATAAACCTACCCCGAGAATAAATATGCCAGAGTTGTTAGTATATAGCTCAGGAAGGTGTACTCTTCCATTTATTCTCCTGTAACAGGCTTCTATTACTTCATCACTTTGGCCAAATACGTGACTGCAACCTAAAAAGCGGATCAAACGAATGAATCCATGAATGTCACCTTGCGCACTCACGAGGATGAGCTAAAGGTGTAAAAGCCAGAATCCGTTCGAACAAAAAGAATGTAATAGATTGACTTAGATTTGGCACCGGGTGGAAAGGGATCAAGCCCTGTAGTCTCGAAGGTGAGTTCAACTTGACAGACTTTGTCACGTGGGGCATTGACCTCCACGCGAGGAATGTGGATCTCATGCATTTCGTAGAAGGAGGCACCTCGTCTGGTCCCCAGTTTTGGTGGCTCCTGAAGCACGCAGATAAAGATCATCTACAAGAAATAGCATCACAATCAGCATTTTACACCACAACTTTTCCTATTACTAATAACAAGGATGAAAGTAGTAAGCTGTCACTAAGGTATTTTGCTTTACACAAGAAGACATGTAAGAATAGCATTTGAATAACAATCCTTCATTAGTCATTTGTCCAAATAAGGTTTTAGTTCAACGACGGAGGTATTACTGTACCTCCTGCAAACCCAGTTAAAGAAGCTGAAACAATAGTAAAGAAAGAGTCATTGACAACTTTGCGATTGTTCAACGACCATTTAAAAGACTAACGTCTGCCTAAATCATATGAAATTCCAATTACACTAGAGCTAAATTGTATGTTTTGGAAGCATACAAGAATTTGCCCGATAAAGCGCCTCATAAGTTGTCAAAACATACGCACAATTTCAATAACGGATAAGAGTAGCATATATTTTCCTGTTAAATCCCAAGGAAATTCGCGCAAGAATTTGTGAATAAGGCATTGTTCGTGAAAGATTACTTCAGAGAATATTTTTGCTAACGCCTGCAAGGGAACAGTATATTACTGAAGCCGCTAGAGTAAATAGAAACTTTGAAAATTTACGTTAGAGAAAGCATGCCTAATGTAAGTCCATGCGCACAAAGTTAGTGATGACAATTCTTACAGAATCACGAGTCCAGTTAAAATAGGGTGGTATTTCCAACGCATGCGTAGATTGATCAATGTGAAAACCAAGTTCTTCGACACTTCTGTAAGTTGAAAAGCATCATTGAAACTGATAATTATGCACATTGAATGCTTAACCTGCCCTTTGTAGGAAATACTCGAGAATTTAACCCAAATGCGGCTCAAGCACCCTTCCCTGGACTAGCTCTGATACAATCGGTGTGGTTTCATCCTCTCTGGTTATTCATCTCTAGGGCTGTCTAATAAAACATCGCCAGATAATCCTTTCTCTTAGTACTCTTAGATGAAGGATGAGAGGAGTGGAGTCAAATAAACTTCAGGATTGCCTTGAACAATTCAATAGCACTACTCCTAATGTCCAAGTAAATTAATGGTAGGAGGTGAAGTTCATTTAATACAACAGGGATTTAAAACTTTGGGAAGAGGAAAGAGCACAACCTCGAGCTGAGAAGTTCCAGCTCTTTTACACCACATTACGCTGCCTGCATTAAATTTCTCACACATACTTGTGTTATGTCAAAAATTAATAGCCTGAGATCCAGATAATACAATATTTCATTGTTTTTATCGACCAAATTGGCTTTATTTTAGGTGGCTGAACTACGAAAACGTCAAAAAAAAGTCAGTAGTCCATACTTTAGGTCTGTAAAATCGTCTCCAACTATGTACCACATTCTTTGCACTTTGCTACTTCTTGAATAGAAATGGTCGGTCGTAGATGGGACAGAATGATGCCAACATGGAAGCTGCAGACCCTTTGGAAAGCTTCGGCTACTCCAGTAATACTCTTGTTTGACGGGGGACGCCATTAGTGGTGAAAAGGAGGAGTCTCGATACATGGGAGAGGCCGATACGTATGACAACTCTTCTGACAACGGATAAATCTTAAATCGCAAATCCAGACTTCATCTTACTCGACAATACCCACATTGTCGCATTGCAAATAAGGTAAAGAGTACTAAGTAAACAAACAGGTGAAAATCCACCATCGAGGAGATCATCCAGACTACAAGACTAATGCACGAGATTATGTAACTACCCCAACTCTTTTATTAATTAAAACAAAACAAAGTGGCAGTTGTGCTGTATTAACGCCCATCTTGATTTGTTTGGCATAAAATTCCTAGATTAGAGCATGTTCCCCATAGTTCAGCTCTACACCTGGAGCAACTAACCGCAGGCGCATTATTTGCAACCGTGCGAAGGAAGCCTTTAAAGTGACCATACAACAGACGCCCGTTGTGCCGCGCTTGCCACCACGATGCCCCCACCCACCACGCCAACCATCCCACCTTATACCCACGCCAAGACCAGACCCTACATTCACCGACCCCCTTACACACTTCCAACCAGAAATGAGAACAACAAATATTACGCTTCTATACTAAACCCCGAATAGTCATTGCATAGCCACGATGAGGTAAGACTAGAGTCTGGACAAAGGCTTCACGCCTAGGATAGACAGGCAGGTACCCAATACATTGCGAGCCATACGAAATATCGCCATCCGTGACTAAAGTAAAAAAGACAGCTTTACATTCACAATCGCAGAAGTGGACCTTAGGAAGGGATTAAATGGGGCTCACCAAGCCAAGCTCTGTCGACTCCGCTGTCAGAACGGGAAGGAATTTCCAAGCTCGACCAATGATAGAACTAAAAGTAAGAAACTTGAGTGATTAAAATCCTGCATCCTCAAATTGCCAATGTGATGAACATACGCAAGAGCTCTCAATAAACAACAAATTGATAAGGCAACGGAATGGACAAAATGTACCCAATATTGTGTTTTAGCTTACGTTAGATGTGTACAGTAGCGCAGCAACCCGTCGGCCTCGTATTTGACGTAGGCGTGTGTTAATGCGTCAGGCAAACTGAAGGTAATTACGTGACAGCTCAGATCTCGAAGAGCAACAAGTGAGCATAGACGAATAGAGTTACTTCCGAAATGTTATTTTAAATCCAATTTCAGCGCATATCAAGATTCTGTCGAAATTCATGGGAATGGTAACCCTGCGCAAGCCTTCGTACGATAGGCATTAAACCGGTAACAGTAATTATCGTTGGGCAAGGAAAATAATGGGATTGTGGCAAGTAGCCATGAGAGATGAAAAACAGGTGAGCATTAGTAAATCATACAGTGCAAGATGGCCGCAGACCTCCTCCTGAGACTCTCGAGAAACAGGGTCAGAATGAACCTTATTAAAAGCGTGGAGAAGCTGTGAATTAATGGCGTCAGCATCACCATCGTCTAGAAGGCCCTTTGCAATTGCTTTTTGCTCCAAGCTGTGAGAGAGAAAGAGCTTTCAGAAAAACCTACACAGACAAGTGCAAGAAGACAGACATTGAGATCAACCTAAAGAGTCGAGCATGGCAATACTGCAAACCAAGACCTGTGAGGTCCGATGCCTCAGCAACAGAGTAGGCGCTGCTATGTCCAAAAGCCCGATTGGCGAAGTAATGAAGATTAAGGTACACGGGTTGCAGACGCGGACGCCGTAACATCTCTGCCACAAGCCATGTGACGCCAAGATGATCGGCGACACTCTCGAACATCCCTCCATCACTCGGCATGATCCGCGTATCTGAATGGAAATGACTTGCCAAAAATATTACACTAATCCTTTAGATCATCCGCTATCAGAATACCGCGGAAGAGAGAAAACCTCTGATGATGGACTCAAGTATCCCAAAGGAACCTCAGAGACCAGAGAATAAGGAAACCCTTTGTCGTTTCAAAGGCATAGCTTAGGTTGGTCCGTTATTTGTAAGTAAAATTGTAGACCATGAAAAGATTATCGAATCTGCGGAGAACCACAGCAGAAAAGTTATTTCTATTGTGCCAAAAGTGTTGCATCCACAACACGTACTTATTTGACACCTTTTATTAAACGTGTATCTTTTAAATCATGTCTTACCACAGATGATCATCAGCAACCCATGATAATAGGCGATATTAGACAAACGGATACATGGTTCACAAGTAAGCAATAATAGAATAATAGAAAAGTGTGAACAAACATTTGCCATAAGAAAAGACCTACTGGGTGATTGGAGCATTCTGCGACGAGCCTCCCGTTTTGCTGCATCCAAAACGTCGCCAAGGAAGATACCGTCCCCGCGGCGAGAACTGGCCCCCCCAACTCGTGCGAAGCGAATATGAAGTGGCCATGGTGATGCGTCACTGTGTACGAGAAACAAACACTTCGATACCATATTTAGTACAGACAATTGAACGATTTGTGATAAATTACAGCTGACATTTCAGCTCCAATTCACATAGGTAATGGTAGTTTGCGCGCAAGGACAGATAACAAACCCAAAATTCAAAGGATCAAACATGGAATGAGCGATTGTGGCGACGATTGTAAGCAAGCAATGAGTGAAGAGGCGTGAAGGAATAACAAGTATCAAAACCTCAACGATTGACACTGATCAAGATAACACCTATTGAAATAAAGCCATGAATTTAAAATTAGTTTTTACCAGTTGCAGCATACAATCAAGCAATTTTTTGCTTTCAAGCCAATGAGAGGATAATGGGGACAAAAAAAATTACGCTTTTGCCCAGTCGTAGCAAAGGCGAGTGAGAAAGTGAGCCAAATTCATAAAGTGCTCCTGTTGACCGTCTTCCACCTACAATAAAAAAGGAGAGATTCCGACCAAGGCATACATATTCACCTCTGGTAGTCTGAGTCATTTAAAACTCACAACATAGTGCATCCTATCAAAGTTGTAACGTTTGGCGCGAGAGATAGCAGCCGCCAGATCACTATATGTGCGAAAGTAACGGTATAACGTAGTCTTCAAAAAGATCATCGAATTCAAAAAAAGAAACATGGTCAAATGAAAATGAATAAATTGAACCATAATCATACAAATAGTAACAAATAATTGGTCCATGAAAGGCATTCACTTATGGAGATGAAAAAAGGACAATTCATGCCGTGTTATGTAGAGAGTTCCCCCATCACTCTTTAGGAGAACCACGCGTTTTCCTGGCTCGTAAGAACTAGCAGTAACCGAACCGTCACTAAAATGTTAATAAATGTAATTTAACTCTGTTCATCAAAAATTACTCCAATTGTGCCTTATAAAGCTAACAATGAATTGAGGTAAAGTAGTTGTCTAACTTTAATTAGTTTTAACTCCGCACAAGAATGCAGGAATATGCTAAAAGTAGAGGAATAGGTCTAATTATTACAGAAGATGAATATAAAGTATAAAGAAATGAAAACCTACGCCTCCCTTCGTGCAATTCGACGCTTAATAAGGTATTCAACCAGCTTTTGTGCAGCTTCAACAAAATCCGATTCGTATTCATAATGGTCGAAGCAAACATTCATTCTCTGAAAGGGTGGAGTCAACAATAGCGGACGAACACAAAGAGTGAATGAAGGGAAGAGAGGTGGAGAACACCCACAGAGTAGAGACGTTTGAGTTCCTCGAGTGTTAGGGCTCGGAATCGGCCCCAAAGATCAGCAAGATCAGGGCGCTGACCTTTCTCCATCTCGGTGGCCAGTGTTGAAGCCATTGCCCTTCCTTCCTCTGTAGAGCCCAACGTCTGACAAGCCTGCACGTAGACCTGCAGAAAGGGTACTTTCATCTGTTAGGAGAGAGTTAAATCAAAATGCTCTGCTTGGGACTGAGTCATTTGTTAAAGCTACGAAAGAAGGTACTTCAACACTACAATGAAACAGAAACAAAGCGAATGTTCAAAACATGTTGATTGCGCTTTCATAATTAAAAATTGATTTGTTCTCTAGCGTTTAAAAGAAGCAGAGCATTACAAGGAATGGAATGTAACTTAATGGGTCTAAACATACCGAATGAAGATGTTTTAAAGGATCTTCTTCAAGAAGACGAGAATCCCCATAGTTTTGGTACCCAAGAGACAGTAAACCTATGCAAAAAGTGAGAATCGCAAAGAACACAAGAGTACGAATTGTAGGTCAGATCTGCCAATATCTGTACCAGATCACACGTTTATCATAGGCATACCGAACTGAGTACCCCAGTCACCGAGATAGTTCACCGCTGTAACCTTATTTCCGGCTGCAAGGTTAATGTTTTTCACAAAATTTCCCAATACGGTGGCCCGAAAATGACCCATATGCATCGGTTTAGCAATATTTGGAGAACTACGATAAAAACGTTACTCAAGACAAAAACGAACCACCTAAATTCGACCAGAACATGTTGTATAGATGGATCGGGTTTGCGCATAATATCATGGCAATTTTCTGGAGAAATGGATAAAAGGTTAAGCTCAAAACATTTTTGAATTGAGCCCTTGTAAGATGTTAAACACAAGGAAACTTACTCTCATTGTATGTTAGTGTCAACGACAAAGAAGCGTAGCCGGCTAAAATTATACTGGGAGCTAATTCTCGTATCAGGTTGGTACCAAAAAAGACGACGAAATAATACCAAAATGATTGGGAGAAAACTCTATGGACATTGCTAATCAGGAAAAGAGAATGGAGTACCTCAGAAGCGACTCGCTAAGCGCACGCGCCGACGTCCAACGCCTGCCCGAGAAATGAATCTGTTTGTCGCATTTTCTAAAGAGTTACTTAAACAATGGTCAAGCAACATTGCAATAATAACAGAGATGTACCGCAACTGTGCAGATAAATTAAATCATGCCAAATTTAATTAAGACAATCGAATGCTATATTCGACTCTCAGCTTTTTTATTCTTCTCTTCCTTGTGCGAATCAGGTGCTAGGACAAACGGAACTGATAGTCGTTTGAAATTGTTGAGCCCGATTACTCCTTAACAGCAATACTTTAAATTCCCTTCCTTCCTTCTTGCAGATACGCCGTGCTTGACACTATCTAAGCATGCCTTCGATGTAGCACGACCACGGAAATACTGTAAAACTTTCCTTAACGCTACGGTACTTCAGCAATGCATACGTGGCTTACAATGTTAGTAAATCAAACAGAACAATTTCTAATAAAAGTCACTAGTGATATTCACCACCAAATCCCATAAATCCAGGTAGTGGAATAGAGGAATAACACAAGGTATCTGACGCATCTGCCTACACATCCATTCTAATAGCTAGTTCATCAGGATGAAATCTAACAGCTAATTCGATATGTGCCTTAGGTTGTTTCGATTATCACTCGTTTAATGGACATCAGTATACCTCTAAGGGAGTACCAACGAAATTAGGACGTTATCCGCCTTTCATTTTCCAGATAGCAAGGAAACAAGATGCTTACTTAATCTGTCCATAAGGCAGGAGGCGCTCGTTTACCGCAACTGAAGTTGGCTCCATAGAGAAACAGCTCAAACTCATGGGTGAGGAAAAATTGAAGAATGAAGATGTGGCGCAAATAAGTAACCCGTTCCTCGTCTGCCTCCTTTGAGATACTTTGTTGTGTTGTGTGTGTGATTACTTTGATGTTCATCCAGCTTTTGAACGTGGCGGTTTCTCCCTCTCTAGAATACATGTGTTCAGCCAAACTTAATGATTTTTATCTCTTGTGAAGTTTCGAGGCCCTAATTCCCATCCTAGAGGAAAGCGAAGATCCTCCCGCAGTCTCCTTTGTATTCTGCAAAGGATCTCTAACAAGCCTCCACAAAACAACCCGCTTATAAAGCCAGAAGTTCAGGAGCCTGAGGGTAGACTGAAAAGTACGAAGGAGAAACTAGGCAAAAGATCTAGTAAACACAAACTATTGTAAGTAAGTGGAGTTTGTGTGTTGTGGTCTCCATGATTCAATGTATATTGGATCCACTCAGAATGACACTACAGTCAAATGACTTTAAAACCTTTTGTCAAGTTGGCATGAAGTAAGCTATGCGTTTCAAGGACACTGTTTTCATGTAAAGGCCATTATTGGAAAGAGGTGATAGGTTTTTATAATACTAGGCATATTTAACTCCAGTGTAATTGACAGTCACTTCAGCGGTTGGCCCTCTCCTTCCTGGTGGGCCGGTCTTCGGTGTATATTAGAATCCAGTCTCAACGCTTTCTACCTATACGCAAGTTTTATCGAAACTACACACCCAATTTTAGAATTTGAAGTTTAATTCTACGCATTTCATCCGATAATACAAGACGATCTTGAATAGCAGAAATTACAGAGCTTTCCTTATTACCTTGGTTTTTAACTACCCATATGACGGGCGACCAAGTTGATATTAATCTTGCTTTCATTGGGAGAGCTTGGCTTTGAGCCAGGCCAAAAAGCCAAGTGTTCAGCCATGACTAACGCCTCTCACGAAGTCCGAAACCGTGCCCATACATATGCTGATAACTTCACCACTTATTTCACCAACAGCCTTTCTTAATCTTCTCTTCAACGTTTGCAGGATTTTTGCTCTTCTAGGTAATGAAGATTGTAATGCATAGTGTTTGTTTAAATGGCGCTTGCAAATGAAGGGCGGAAAAATCAATTCAGACGCCGTGCTCGAGGAGTCTGCCAAGGAGACGATTCCCTCAGAAAGTGAACATGGCGTCTCATATGTCTTCACACAGTATAAACCTCACTAATGCATGATAGACTTCTACTAGGAAAGGCTCTTCTGAAAGTTCTGCAGAATAGTTCACTGTGGGACCAGCAGCTACAAGGAGATTTGTCAGGTAAATTTAGCTGTGTGAAGGAAGCCTTAATGTTACGCATTCCTACAGTTTACTAGGTTAACCTTCTACGAGCTGATACAATGAAATTTTTTCACAATAATTATTAGAATAAAGCCCGTTTTTATACCATTGGCATGAATAACGAGAGAATTTGCGTAGCAAGCCAAGATCTTCATACAGGGGGTAAAAGTTACAATACTTAAAGTAGAAACCGCAGCTTCAGCAAAAGAGGGGCAATAAGGCCTTTGGACATGTCCTGTTTATGTACAGCTCTTCTATGGAATTGTATTAGAGCGAATGCAACGAAAATTTGTTCGTCAATCGCACAGAACACCGTTAGTAATGCATATCTATGCATGTCTATGATATAATACATTGTGATGTCAGACGGCCTCTATGAGATTCGCCTGGCCCCTGTACGCGCGGAGTGGCAGCAGGAAACGAGCCTGACTTTTTCCGACCACTTTTATTCTTCTATCTACGTTTTTGGCATATACTTACGGTGCGGAGGAGGCGCATACGCGTCGGATGGGGGTCTCTCTGAATGGTTTGAGAATGCTGTCTGCGTTTGACCCCACCTTGTCTCCTTTTTTCACGCAACCTACTAACAGTTGAAACTTCATCGCTATGAAGTATCTGGAAAGCTTTGTGTTGGATTTGGCCCAAAGGACACTACTCTGGATCTCATCATATACAGCACTATGTCTGATCCCGTCTTCCATGTTAAACGTCTGTTGCACACCAGTGTTCCAACGTGCAGTGCTGGAGGCAAATGATGGCCAGCAGACGTATGCGATCCGATTCTGGCTGTCAGATGGAACGTAAATCCAGGTCCATTTGAAGCTGCCGAGGGGATTAAGTACCATTCCTCAGTTTGTTAGTAGCTGTTGACTGGTGCTGCTGGCCTGTAGATGCTTTATTGAATTACTGAATATGTCGTGATGGCTAGTACGAAGGACGTACCAAAGGGAGGGTGTTGATCGAAAGAGAGACAGTGTAGGACTTTGTTTACTCTATGATTGTTCTGCCTCTTGTACGTGAAGACTGGCCTTCGAACTAGACCCAGGCTTAATCTCCTTTTCATCTCTAAAAACATGCTGTAGGAACTGCTTGCCTACCCTCCTGCCCTTGAACCACGGACTTAAAGAGCGGGCAGTTGGCAGACGATTTATTTGGCATTAGATACAGAAAGAAGGGGGCTTAAATACAGACGGACCGAAAAGGAGATACGAACCAGAGAGAAAGTCCTCATTGTCATCGCGCACGTGAATCGCTTTCCAAATTTTTTTGGTTCCCCCCTCTCTCTCATAAAATGTCCGCTTAGAATATTTAATATATATTAATCATGCACCCAAAAAGCTTAATACTTTTTTCTATCTAGTGAGAAAACTTAGGGTGATATTGTTGAGGTTGTTTCTTGAAGAAATAGTACATTGACGGCTGTGAGTACTCGCTGCCAATATACAGTAGTAGTTTCGGCATTTTCGCGTAATCTGGAAGCCATATATAGCGCCCCGAGACCTTCTGACCGGTATAAGAAGTCAGTAAGTGCAGCTGGACACATGTATGCTAAAGACAGCAGAATAAATGAGCCTAGGCATTGCCCGAAGGCCAGCTCATATGCAAAAGGACCGGACACTATGTTCCTTAAAAAGGGTACGAATGTGAGTGCTTTAACAGTTCTATTTGTTAAGCTAAAGTTAAACAATCAAATAAGACTACTAGTGGGACGCGATTATAAATTACAGGTAACGACGGAAGATCTTAAAACTGTTATGCATACATAATTTACGTAATAGCAGCCCCTATATTCTTTATTCTTTGGGTGGTGTATGCGATACCGTGGTCCTTTTCTTGATTAAGTTTCCTTCTCTTTTTATCATAACGTTTTTACAGAGCCAGTCACAAATTGTAGGGTTTTACATTGCTGTGTTTAATTACTTTTACAGTAAGGAAGCGACATTGGCAGTGGACTTTATGTCGCATCTTTCCATGATTATACATTATGACACATTTATTGTTTTCTACATCTTGCCGTTTACGCGGTCTCTGCAATTTCATTCGTGCCTGATAATCGTGTTGGGGATCTGTAATGTTGCGGTGATGGATATCGAGGATATATGTTTGGAACCTCACGTCGCTGAAGGAAACAACAAAGTTCATCATAGTTTTATTAGAAGGAAACAATCTCAAGATGTTGCTGATATTTGCGGTGACAACATCCCAGGTACATATTGCGTTCTCCTCAATCCTGATTTAAGGGTTGCCAACGCCACTACTTTTTAATACTTTTTTAATGAATTTTCGAAATTTTAGGTACCCAGCATATCTTCGTGCAGGTTTGGGGATGTGCGCATAACACCAGCGATGCTGAATACATGGCCGGACTCCTTGCTTCATATGGCTACAAAGTGATTTTAAGTGTTTTTTTACCGTATTATCGGTGGTTGGGGCAGTAGTAATGAAGCTTTACGTTGTGTTCACTTGCGCCTGCTGTACTTGCGGGCCTGCCTGACATGACGGTTGCTAGCCATTCGATTGTTATTAGTTAAAGGAAGTATCGAATGTTGTAGAACATTTTACTTGATAAGGATCATTATGTTTCCCTCTAGCTGTTCGAGTTTTGTCCATTAGTAGTGTTTCAATCGTGTGTTTGCTGCTTGGCAGTGATCTTCTGCCAGAATTCCCTGTGTTGCGAGCAATGTTTAATCTCACAATGGACTACTGATGTATTTTACAGTCTATCTCTTATTCTTCTGTGAACAATGTCGCAACCTTAGTTGTTCTGATTAAATCAGGCGACGTTAGATCTTCAGTTATCGGTGAAATCGTTTTGCCAATTTCCAATTCAGTCATTTACGTCCCCTAAACATCTCGAACCACTTGCTCAACTTGATGTTTTCGCAATTATATGGATTCAATTAAGAAGTGGATTATATTATCAATCGCGATTTTCTTTACCCTATCGTTTTATTTGCTCTCATACTGCTAGTATTTTACGGTAATTTGATATGAACCAACGAAAGCACCCTTTTGAGTGTTAGTTTAATGTTGAAACCTAAAACACACTTGTGGTTGCGCAGCTCTAACACAAAATAGCTTTTGTTCAGGTTAACCGGGAATGCCTTATTCCCACGACAAAGTATTTGTTGGGCGAAAATGAATTTAGGCTACACCACTACTTGATACGCCTTTCCTTTAGGTCACGCTTTGTGGAAGCTGTGACAACTGTGCCTCTGGTCTGGGTAAGAACGATGAGGAGGCTAAAGCAGCAGCCGATTTGTGGTTGTTAAACAGTTGCACTGTGAAGGGACCCGCTGAAGACCACTTTAGGAACGCAATTTTCGCTGCTAGGGCCGCCGGAAAGCGCGTTGTTGTCGCTGGTTGTGTACCTCAAGGTAGTCCCAATTCGGCTTATCTCAAGGTAACTCGCTTGCTTCTTCTACTCTCCTGGATGGTCACACTCTGCATAAAGTTGGGAGAGTAGTTAAAAACATTGTTACTCCTTTTCATCCTATGCCGGTGTATACTTATTTTGGTTAAGTTTGCTAAAATTGAAGAAAGCTATTTCTGCTTACTTTACTAGCCGTTAAGTTCCCATATCACCAGAACTTTTGTCTTTGCTACTGATCTCCCAAATCAACTCTCGATGACGTGTTTAGGTGTCATGTCCTTTGTGAATCAAGACCTTGGATTTCCTGTAATCCCCCGTATTTGCTTCCGATTTTATAAGCTTCATTCAGAATTCGACAAAGTGGATCCATTTCAGATGCTTCTAGTCCTTTCATTTCCGAATGAACTTTCGTGAGCTAATACTCTTAAGCTATTTATGTTGTAGTCGCCAAGACGTTGAATTTAAGCTTGCCACGACATGAGCGATCCCAGCAATTAAACATAATTACGTCTAAGATTTGTGTTTGGATAACTGCCCGAACCGTTTGGTCCACTTGATAGGCTTGCGATTGCATGTTTATTCCCATGTTGCCTCATTTTTGGATGTATATATCGTAGATAACTCTTTCTAGCTATATTTTACTCAGAGCAGCCGGCACCACAAAAAAAGTGGGAGGAGGTCTAGAAAATTGGGTTTGGCCCCTACTTCCTTTCCTATTTTGTAATCTGTTCCGTCTTCAATGCCCAGAACGCAAAAAAAATTGGATGTTCAGATGTCGAGCTGACCTCACTTTTATTGGTTCGTAGTCACTGCAGTATGCAATGCAATGTGCGACTCTGTTAAGAGGATCAGTTAGGACTTCAAGTGCGTGTCTTAAACTCGCTTTACATGCATTTTCAGAATGTTAGCGTGGTCGGTGTTCAGCAGATCGATCGAGTTGTGGAGGTCGTTGAACAAACTCTCTTGGGTAGGTTTGGCCCTTTCGGAGACAATTTAAGCAAAACTGCTAGTGTTAGCCTCTCACTCACTAATGACGTCGATTTAAAGTTATTTACGCGGTTCATCTTGAGGTTCTCCAATGGGGATAGGTGTACAGCATTTTTGGGCGTTGTGGTGTACACAAGTTTGCGCATTCATATTCGAAACTCCCAATGAGCGAATCGCAAAATTGCTATCTTTTGAATCAATTTATCAGGAAATGTAGTGCGTTTCATGGAGAAGCGAACAGCCACGGCGGCAAGAGACAAAGTGGAAGATTCCACGATTCAGCAGAGACAGCTGCGATCCGATGCGGTACCGCTCTCATTGCCGAAGATTCGACGCAACCCATTCATTGAGATCCTGGCCATTTCGACAGGCTGCTTAAATGCCTGTACCTACTGCAAGACGAAGCACGCAAGAGGCGTGCTCGCTAGCTACCCCGTCGAAGACCTTGTCCAGCGGGCTCAAGAGGTCTTCAATGGTAAGCAGAAAAATCCACTTCATGGCGATGTCATTGATAAATCTGTCGTTACATTGGTGCTTTTGGTCATTCATTCTTGTCTCACTTCGTAACAGTGTTCGATGTCTGCCTTTTCTTGAAGTATATTCCCATTTTCCCACTCATCTCTGGGAGTCGAATTTACGGGACTTTTGCCCTTCCTCTCCTTCGAATTCAGTGACTTACCCGTTCAACTTACAGGACCAAAGCACTGGTTTCTCAAGTCGTCATTTCAACATTTCAGGCGGTCTTTCCCTGCATAGCTACGGTATAAAGGAAATTTTTTTGCACATATCAATTTGATCATCCTTTTCTGCGTAGCAAACCCCTTGGTCATGATATTGGTGCGCTGTTTATTCGCCTTTATGCATTCACTAGTCGGTGATGGGTCTGATTGGACACCTTTATCGCTCCATGATCGGGATCAGTAAAAGTATCCCTGACAGTTTCAAACTTCCTCGCTATGAATCCCACTTTAATGACATTTTGTAAGCCAAATTCTACCTAAAGAATTTTCTAAATGTACTTGGCTTGTACCTTCTTTTGAAGTCTGCTTCATTCTTTTTGAGATTAAAATATTGTTTATCATGTCAGCTATTCTCCTCCCTTGCATTAAGTAATTTCCTGTTCTTGCCGCTTTCGCCACTTGGTATCTCGATCCCCCCAGCTGTAATGCTCCCATCATGACTTTTAAGTTGTAATATTTTCAATCACTTGCCGCATGCATCATCATCTGTAACCTTGGTTGACGTGGTAAAGCTTGGACGTCCATTCCATTCAGGGTAACGAAAAGTCATCCTGATTCCATGCGGACGCAAAGAGATAATGTGATAAGGAGTGGGATGAGTTTAGGCTCTTCTTTTCTTTGATCACAAAACACACAAATCCATCTGGGACATCGTACTGGTTCAGAGCTTACCATTTGATTACCCATTGCTAAGATTCGGTGCTTGCTCAGTGATTCGACTCTTAGCTGCGCTTCAACTGATGTTCTTGTGGAAGCTGGTTTCCTTTTAACCATTAATCGGTTAAAATTCCGGCCTGCGCAAATACTCTTACGAGAATTTTAAGTGATGGTAGCGAAAAATGTTAACAAATCGTTGATTATTCACCTTAATTGTCGCTGTTTTCTCAATTTTTCATGTCAGAGGGTGTTAAGGAGATATGGTTGACTGCGGAGGACCTTGGTGCCTACGGACGCGATCTCAGTCGCTCTAAACATCCCTTGACCACCACACCAAAGCAAGTGGCTTCCAGGTGGCCTGATCACCTCACCTTGGCGGACCTGCTTTTCGCTCTAGTTCCTGTCATTCCACCCGGTTGCATGCTTCGTCTCGGTATGACAAATCCGCCTTACATCCTGGATCAACTTGCGGAGGTCGCCGCTGTACTCAGACACCCTCGTGTCTACGCTTTCCTTCACATTCCAGTTCAGTCTGGTAACGCTTTACTTCCCCTCGATTTTTGCACTTGGCTGACTGGAAGGTGCTGCACTTGCCACCACAACGGTTATTTTCATTTCGAGGTTCCAATGACGTGCTGCACTCAATGCGACGTGAGTACACAATCGAGGAGTTTCGGAAAGTGGTTGATTTTCTTGTCACGGCGGTTCATTCAGTGTAAGCTTTTTTGCTCTACCTTTCGACCCCACTCTCGTCAAAACGCATTTCTATTTAAGCATTATTTCAAGTGGTGTCATCCTATGAAGACGTTTTCCACTTGTTATATGCTTTTTAACTCATCCTTCGATAGCTCTACCCTCTTCATCATATATTCTTTCGTTGGCCCAAATAGTCTTCATGGCACGCACTCTTGCTTTCTCTTTTGTCTTTCATGCACCCACTTATCCTTAGGCGGAAGCATCACTAAGTTTTATTACTTCATAGGGCGTAAAACTATATTGCCTGTTAGTATTTGAGCTTGAATCGCGTTACTTTGTCTCCCATTTCCAGAGTTTCAGATATTTTTTTTCCGAGCTGCCAAAATTGATCGCCGGTTCATCCTATCGCCAAATTTTTACACCACCTTAATATTACCACGTTCCACTAAATCAATACAGTATTAAATGTTTGAGTTCTTAAATTTCTTTCTTTCATCTTACCATCTCTACTTATGCAATTAAAGAACGGATTCGTGTAAGGGCAACGCCTTTTTCACTCTTCCCACAACGACAGAGACGGTGACAAAATGACAGTGGCAACTGATGTTATTTGCGGTTTTCCAACGGAAACAGAACCCGATTTTCAGGCCACTCTTCGACTGATTGAACATTACAAATTCCCCGTCCTTTTCATTAATCAATTCTTCGCTCGACCCGGAACACCGGCCGCAACAATGACGCGGTAGGCTTTGGTTTCACTTTCCATCATTCGTCTTGAAGCGTTGAAAGGTCCCTTTACTACCGTTATCCCTCACCTCTTGCAAATCCACTTGTAACCAAGTTTTATACACCCCTCATTGTCTTAGCTACTCAGTCACCGAAATACTCTTTCTTGTCCCATATTTAATGCAGATTTTCTTGGTGTTCGAATTTTTGTAAGCAACGTATTTATAAACCGTCAATATCCCTTTAAGCCGCGCTTATGAAGGTCGGCAACGAGTGCCGGTGAATTCTTGTTGTTGCGGATGTGTTGATAATTCACTCGTTTATGCATGCTGTGTCCGAAGGTCTCAAATTATGCAGCCTTTGGAGGTTATATTTGAAGCTGCTGGACTTAAATTCTAGACTGTGTTGATAAGTCTCGCACAGTTTTTCACATCCCAAAGCGACCTAGAGTACCTGAGACGTGATGTCTTTAGCAATTTTTGGTGCTGTAGATGCACCTACTGAATAGCCGCCAACTGTCCACCTTTTTCGTGTACTTTTTCATCCGTGTAGGACGGCAACAACTGCAATGGTGAAGGAACGAACTCGCAAGCTTCATGATCTTTTCCGGACCTATCGGCCATTCGCGGATAGGGTGGGGCGTCGATACCGTGTCCTCATCACTGAGACCAGTACGGATGGTAAATATTGGGTTGGCCACACCAAGGCCTACGAACAGGTTAGACACCGCCTTGAGTCTGCGTTCGTCAAGGTCTTTTCGTTAAAAGAGGACTTCAGCTTTCATCTTCTCCCCTCTCCCCCCGTTTTACCACGGTCATTCATTTGGTAGTTCGCATTAGAGGTTACCCTCTTCAGAGAAACTGGTGTCGAATAATATGACTGAAGTAGTGTTCTGTGCAGTCACGATGGGGCATCCGACGGGTCCCCTCCCTTTACGTCCCAACTGTACCTAGCTCGAGGAATGATGTTGCTCCATCTAAACGATTGTTTTCATCACTCGTCCCTGGTCTAGACGATACTGCATCTATCCATATGTGGCGTAACTTTTTTTCTTTTAGTCATTTTTTATTGTGATTTTCCTCAACTAATTGGCTGCAAAAGTTGGTTCAGCAGGTGGCAATTAGAGATGTAAAATTTGAGGAAACCATTATGCTCGATACTGAAAGAAATAGTTCTATTCAGTCTTGTCTTATCTCTTCTTTTTTCCCTTGTTCGAGAAACCGCTTCCGGTTAACTTTGCAGATGCTTCCATTGGTGGAACATCTCTTAACTCTGTAAAGTCAAGTAGAGACATACTGTAGGCGTAAATATGCACATTTGAAGGTCATTTTTTAGCTACTACCATGGTATGTGATCAGAGCTACTCAGTCTCGAAAATTTGGATAATAGACGCCTATGCAATGATTGAGTCGATAGTGAAGACATTCGCCTTGAAGTTCTCTCGATTAACTGTCGGGTCGAGGGCTCAGTAGGCCTCCGGTAATCCCCTCATAGAGGCACCAAATGGCACCGCTAAGTTGTTCACCTTTACAAAGTTCACTTTGACTCCGCTTCTCTTGGACAAGGAACTAGGACTTTCGTGTAGGTCCTCGGGCTTTATTTGGCGTCTTGTGTCGAAATAGCGCCTTACATTTTCCCCTTTTCCCTTCTTTTATTCGAAGTGCTCTTTTTCGACTTTCCCACTTTCACTAAATTTTCCTCGCAAGTTGGATTAGTCTGTCTCTCTCAGACTTAACCACAATTTATGAGAATCGCGATTCTCTGGTAAACAACAGTTCTGGAATTGGACTTAATGTCTGATGTCCGTCATGAATACTGCTTTGGGGTGTTTGTTTTTCGATTGCATAAGAGTCATGTCCTCTCCCCCTCACTTCTAAGTTTTCAGTTTCTTACACCCACGCGCTGTAAGACTTCCATATTTCTATTTTTCCCGCACACTCTCTTTAGTATTCACAGTTTACAATCAGCTATTTCTATTTATGTCTTCGCTTCTAGATTCTCTTGCCCAAAGAGCCCGACTTGCAGGGTCACATGGTACTGGTGGAGGTGACGGAGTGTTCCAAATTCTACATGCGTGGCACGATTGTCGATCGGGGTCCATTTCTTTCTCTCACTGCTGAATCGGAAGGGAGTGATGACCTTCAACTATTGCACTCCTCGTTACCTCTCTGTGAAGGTTACAATAGATCCCCTTTGCTGTCGAGCAGTTGTAGCATCCACAAGGGGAGGTCTCGATCGAGCTTTTTGTCATCCAATCTGGTGAGTTTAATTTATCAGGTCTGTTACTCTCACGGAGTTTAAATTTCGGGTGTCCATTATTTTGCATTCGTGAGTCAAGAAATTCCACACTTGATGGCCTTATTATTGTTCTTTACCTCCTAAGCTGATGATGCTGGTTTACTTAACCTTTGAATAATGGAAAGAAACGAGCTTAACCACTACCCCGAATGCTTGATGACGGTGTGAATGGGTTGCTGGGTGTAGAGAATTGATAGGCAGCAAGCATGATAGTAGAGACTGTAGAGGGAGGATGCGTTTGAGACGAAAAATTTCACCTAATGCATTTAACGTGTTTACGAAAAAAAAACATGCCTTTAGTAGAGATCATCGAGGCCAAAAATTTCTCCATCTAAAAGGTGATTTCTTTTGCGTATACAAACCCATTTGGATGCTATTTGGAAGGAATTGTGCGTCATTTGTTTTGCTACCAGTTTGGCACGAGGTCATGCGTCATGGGAGAAGTCAGTTAATTGAACAGATGGGATGGCATATTTACTACTGCTTTTTCCGAGACAACTAATTTGTGGTTATTGATTTCTAGCGCTCATTTTGCTTTTATCTTTGTTTCAGATACCTATCGCAGTCTTCTTACTCATAGTGACATGGATTGCATCAAAATTGCTCAACATTTGCTGATACTATTTGCCCCCATTTAGGTCCTGGGGGTCGCAAAGATAACACATTAACAGTTTTTAATGTCTTTTTTGCTCAGTAGTAAGACATTAAAATGGTTTGCCTTTGTAACTGGATTTGTCTAATCGAGGCGCTTGAGATTACTGCGACCCTATTTACATAGTTGGGCTAGATTTCTTCCACAGCGACGAGATACTTTCACTCTGAGGGGCATCGGAGCTGTCGGGCTACAGAGAAAATGAATTTTCTCCTCCTGTGGTTTATTGGAACGCACAAGTAGTACCAGACTTCTTCGGCGGGGGCGCTTGGCCGTCTCCGCGGATGAGGGATATCGGTGTGCGCGCAGTTTTGCGGGAAACCTCAGTGTGAGCATGCATGAACCTAAGTGGGTTTGGTCGGGGGGTGCGAGCGCCGTTAATGAATTGCTTCACGGTGATACCTCTTGCGACGAACGCACTTGAGGTGCTGTTATTCGCATTGTTCAAGTTCACCATTTGAGGGGAGCGTAGCGGGATAGGTTTTCTCAAGTAGAGCTAAAAGTAGCGTGAAGAAGGTTGCTTACGGTCAGTGGTCGGAGGGACTGGGTACTTAAGCGTCAAAAGGGTAATGTTTATTAGTCAATATGCGCGTTGCCTAAAATTGTGAGGATAAAAGTGTAAAGCGTAGGCATCTGCGTAGTACTAGTACATTGAAAGGAAAAAATACATTAATTGTGATAGATTAAATAACATTATTAATAGCATTTTTTACTATGTGGCTAGTTCAACAATTATTACACCAAAATGGCGGCGCGCCATTCCAATGGAGGTTTAGCCAGTTCTTTACTGGTGGGGGATTGATGGTGTAGTTTCCCAATTTGAGTGCGAAATGCTTATCAAACTTTATTGTTTTGCTATCATTTATACATACTGTATCTGTATCACTGCTTTACGTACGTTTTTCCGTTTGTGTTTGATTAATGCATTTAGAAATTGATATTAAGGGTAACATAACGAGTTTTTCAATAAGTAACTATCCATCTTTGATCTCAAGAAACGAAAAACATGTTTGGGAGTTTAATACAGCGAACATGGGCCAAATTGCTATTAGAAAGCAACATGTTCTGCTTTTTCCTGGTGATGAGCTAAGAATCTTTGAGGATAACGCTGATTCAAGAACGGAATTAGGTAATTTTCATTTCGTATTTTTAATCCTGCACGTCATGTGATGCTCTTGTTATTAATGCTTAGACTAGCGGTTTTCTTCTAAATCACTTATGGTGTATCTTTCGCATTAAATATGAGTCTTTTTATGTTACTTTTAGCAAAGTATTCAGCGTGGAATTCCTCTGCAAGCAAAGTTGTCTCTTCCGGAGATTCCATCTCTATTGAGTTGACAAGCATTGCAAACTTGTCAGTTCTGACGCCAGGAGAAGCGAGTCGTATATTTGTATGTTATTTACTTCCCTTTTCTACTCCGGTTTCGTCCCTCTAATGCACCACTTCCTTTGCAGATTTTCAATTTCACCCTGGAAGTGGCTGGATTCTGCTCACCCAACGACACTGACCGCGTGCCCTGTGAATATTCTCAGGAACAACGTTGTTATTCGAAGGCCCAAGATCGGTGTGACGGTTTCTGGGACTGCCCTTTTGATGGCCACGACGAGGCTGGTTGTTCTTGTCCCTCTGCCGTCGAATTTGCCTGCGCTGATTTCTCCGTTTCTGGCGCTTGCTACAGCTTATCTCAGCGATGTGATGGCGTTTACCATTGTACTGATAAATCTGATGAGGCAAGTGATATTTTAATTGTGGTTATCAATGGTCAGGATTACAAGTTTGTAATTCCGATCCACCATTTTCGGGCTCTTCTCTATCACCCTACGTAAGGCATGATTCTGGTGATGCAGAATTTTCGGGTTTAAATTAGGTCATTTCGTTATTCTTTCACTTCAATGCTTGTTTTTTGAATTGTTGGAACTTTTCTGGGTGGGAATATACTTTCCAGGTTTATTTCGGTTTGAACTTTTGGCTTAAGTTGGGGTCTTAATTTGACATTTGAAGGAAAGTTTCGATCCATTACCTTGTATCTCGATTTAGCGACTCTATTTGGTGGTCTAACGTGCATTTTAAAACAAAACTTCCCTTTTCTAATCTCCGCTCTATTTATTGGGAGAGTATCTCATTAAATCATAAGCGTACTTTTTTGGGTCAGCAGCACTTGTCTTCTTGGGACGATGCTAGTAAGCTCAGAACCGATGAACTGTGGATCTCTTACGTAAGTGATTAGTAGCACCTTGATAGTCACTTATTCAATGGGGTCAATGTCGTCAGAAGTTCGGAGGATGGATTCTTTTTCTCTTTCATGATAGTGGGTCTATTCAGAGTGTTTCAAACGATCGTTTTTAATATTTCGCTACTGAAATTTCATCGAAACTTGTTTGAGCGTGTACATGCTAGGTTCTGACGTGTTTATCAAAAGGGATAACTTGAAACGGCTTGCCTTCTTCGACTGGTCTACTTGCATTGGCGTTTTACGTCAGTAACACCACATTTTTAAATGATACATTTGTTTTTCCTTAAGGTTAAGAACCCATTTTCGCTGCATCTCTCTACTTTGAGTCTCTATTTAGGCGGCGTTGTGCACTAACTTTTTTCACTCCGTTGGGGCAAATTCCACAGTCGTCAATTTTGTCTAGAGTATTTGGGCTCTATCCTTTGGCACTTATTATTAAAGAATTCGGTCTGATTGTTAACTGTTTGGGATGGCATTATTGTCGGCAAGTGGAGAAATGTTTTCATTTTTGTCCTTTACAGAAGGATTGTTCAGAGAGCCTGTGCTCCTTGGAAGCACTAAGGTTTCTTTGCGTTCCACTCAATAGCAGTGCCAAGTTGACGGGTGCGTGTATCCCCTTGGATCGTATTTGTGACGATCACTTGGACTGTGACAATGGAGCTGACGAGGCGTCACACCTCTGCAGAAGTTCTGCTCCCACCAATTCATCTTCTACCATCGCCCCAATCGCGCAGCTTTTCGCTGCCCAGGTGGCTCACGAGGCAGTTAGGGAGGCTGTGGCGGCAGCACTGTCGCGGGTAGACTCGCGGCTGCGTACCCTTCTCACCTATGTACTATCTGCTCTTTTCGGTCCTCTCCTCATCGTCCTTACTGTTGGACTCATGTGCCGCTCTAGCGCCGCTTCTGTTGCCGCCAGTCGACGATCAGCTGAGGAGGCTCGACGTGCTAGACAGCGTATGCCCTCCCACAAGTACAGCGGATAACTAATCATCACCTGTTTTTGATGCCTCTCTCTTTTCCACAGAGGCACGCTTCAACTCTCCTATTCAACGTCTCATCCGCGATGAGATTCGCCGTCGTCCTCCTCCTCCGACCTACGAAGAAGCATTGAATAATAGTCTTTTTGAGGAACCCATTCTTGAGGGTGTAGTACCACCACCTCCACCTGAACCTCTTCCAGGCGCTCTTTCCCAGGCTCGCATCGCTGCTGTGCGCGAACTCTCCATGAAGCCCGCTCCCACACGGGTCGACGTGGCTATCTCTTGTGATCTTCTCGGTGATACCATCACTCCACTTTCCGTCTATAATCAACACTACCGTCGTCGACGTCGTCAACCTCTCCTGACATCTTCCTCCTCACCTCATAGTCAACCGACGTCCACGATGTTGGAAACGCCTAATGCAACTGGGGATGGAAGAGTTGAAGACGTGGCGCAGTCGTTTAACGAAAATGGCTCTGGGCAGGGTCTTCTTGGGCGCTGGTTCATGTCCACTTTGGGGAGCTGGAGACGTGCTGGTAGTGGTATTGGGGGTGATGAAGGTGGTTCAAGGCGAGACTACGAACAGCCTGAGGTCTCCGAGGCTACTGTAGTATCATCCATGCAAGAAGAAGAAGCGGAGGACGAGTACGCCTTTATTGCATCACAGCCCGAATCTGTTGAGGGAAGAGACGAGGAGGAGGTGGATGAAGGTATTTCTGGCTATTTTAACTGCAAATAATTTTCATTCCTGTCTCCAATAGTGGGCATAGTGTCGCCTCTGAAGTAAGTAATGTGTAGTTGATCGCTGTTGTCCTTGTTCGACCTGTATAAATATTATTCATAGGTCCTAATGGAGATCAGTTACCTTTTCATCACCTGTGGCTGCCATTATTGTCTTGAGGCTAAGATTTACTCAAGCTTGGCAGTGCATAGGTTTTCGATGAACTAAGTTACATTCTCCCTGCACCTTGGGTTTGGGTTTGCGCACTTGGTGATGGATTTTTGAACTAATAAATTAATTCGCTTACCTATGAGCCGGACTTGATTACTTTTAAAGGTTTCTGTTGACTTTTATGCCTGCTTGAAAGCAAATATTTCATTGCTTTATGATTAACACTGCCTGTTCAAATACATGACCACTTGAAGCCTCTTTGATGCCAGCTTGGGAATTGTCCTTTTTTGCTGTATGAAACCGGAAAAATCAGTCGGGCTTTCGTACATGATTAATTACATCCATTTCATTTCTTCGGTGTCTAGGAGACGATCCCATGGAGGATGAATCGTTACTTGAGGCCACAACAACAGTAGTGACGGGTAGAGGATCGGAGGATGTAGTGGTGGAGACAAATAGGTCTGGTGGCCATTTTCCGAGTGTTCGAACTATTCTCCTACCCAGAAATCAGTCCGACAACTCTTCCGTGGGAAACGTATGATCATCCCTCTCTCTTTGTCCTTCTCTCCTTCACTTTACAGTGTCTTTCATCTCTTTCCCGCCTACACTCACCATTATCATGTTTTTTTTCTAAAATCTATTTGAAATTGATAGAAACATTGTCTTCCTCATTGTATTGCTTTTGAATTTTCTAATTCGATGGCCATTGGTGGTTTGCTGTCAAGTTGCATTTTCCTGTTTTAACTTAACCTGTCGCTTCGACATCGTCCGAGGGGATTCCCTGAGCTCCCATGATGCTCCTTCTATCACTTTTAGTCGTACCTAATAAAGTTTAGCGATTTCCAGTAGCTGTGCCCTTAGTACCTCCTCGTTGAATGTCACTTGATTGCCTCTTTCGTCACCTTATGTTTTGCTTTTTTTTATACTAACTGCAATACGATTGGTCAGCTATGTTGAAGGGCATTTTCACTTTAACACAATTGTGGGGGATCATATCATGCCAATTTTGTTTCTTGTTCCCCTTTAACATTATTCTACCAATATTTTCTCTCATTGTTTGAAGACTTCGTAGTCGATGCTTGTGTGCAAGACTTGTGTTTTTCCTTTTGGCTTTATACCAGATCACCCAATCGAAAGTTGCAGTTAAAATGACATGACAGCTGAGTGGGATTTGTCACTTGTAAAGCTATCAAAGCGCTAACAAACTACCACTTCCTCTCCAATGTCGCCTAAAGTATGCTAATGAGGGATTACCGAAATCTCGCGTCAACAGTCTCATTTCTTGCCATTTCGGCCGATTGACGACAGACTTGATTCACATCCCCAGTGAGTTTTTTTTTATTACCTAAAACCATCACGCAAACCAAGTGAGTGGGTGTAAGTTTGTTACGGTTGCGCAGATGTCATCATTTCTGTTAGAATGGCTACAATCAATGATTGTTTATGTGTTTTTCACTGTGTTTATAATTACATATGCTTCTCAGCCTACTCGAGTTGCACCTGCCTGCCACATCGACGGCCTTCTGGTCGTTTTCTCATCCACTTACACAATGCAGTGGGGTTTTTGGATAGTCTTTAGGGTAGGAAGCTTTAATTGGACACGGAGACACTGTCTTCCACTGGGGAAGAAGAAATTTGCTTGACATCATCACTACACTCGTCTACTAATATCTGTCGAAACAATCTACTCATTTTAAGGGGACGAAGAATGCGATAGCAAGAGTGGATGTCAATCGTATTACCATATTGATAGCGTCGATGAGCTTGCCTCTCCGTGCTTCCTCGGTTTTGCATCTAATGGTGAAGAACTCTTTGAAGGCTTCATGTCGTACAACAATGGCGGACGAACTGGAATACTTCACTACTTTGTCTTGATCTTTCATCTTCCGCGAGGCGTATCTGCTCACCAAAAGGAAATTTGAATGACGAGGGGTGTGTAAAGTTCCTCAATTACTATCGGATCTAGCATTTCGGGGTCTACCTCTGATCGGCCTTGCGGGATGTTTGAATGTAGAATTTTGTCATCTACTATGGGATTGGGAAAGCCGCAAAATGAAGCCAAATCCATCACCTGCGCGCAAGGTTCTCTGCACATTGTGCACTATAATTAGGTAACTTCTTTCCCTCATTATCTGTGTCCCTAAAAATGGGTGTCAGGCATCATTGCAAACCGCGACACATCTAGAATGCTAGTGCAGTTTTTTCTTCTACTCTGGTTCTGCTAGATGGGCTGGAGGAGAGAAGGTGGTCCTAGACGGTCAAGGCCGTTGAGGCTTAAAGTGAGCAAGAAAATTGGAGAATTTTGAAGCTGCCTTGAAACCTTATTCTTGTCTGATTTCTGTTGAAAGCTCCTCTTCAACTCGTCAAGATGCTTATGCTTCGAGCGTCCTATAGCTTTTAAAGAGCAACATGGGCGATATTTGCAGCCACACATTTATGAACAGCCCGAATGAGGCCTGCAACAAGGGAGGAATGAACTTCTGGAAATGCAAATTCACTTAAATGTTGAAATGTTATGTGAAGTACACAGTACTGATGTGGTTGGGCGTCTGAAAGCACATCGTCTAGGCTAGAAGATTTTGTGAATTCGCCACTGCTTTCCTCCGCAGTAGCTCTGATATGGCTGAATGGTGGAAATCCACCTACAGGAAGCTGCGACATATACTTCGTCGTTACACCACATAAAGCAGACAAGTGAAAGTGGCACTAAGGCATTGGAGAGGACAAATTTTGTAGCTGGAATGCGCCTTATGCAAGGTCTGGATAAATGTTCTTTCACTGGACATCGCAGTGAGCGCCTTCTAACGCCTTGTGCGAACTGACTCTGGTGCACGAAATGGACGTGTTTAGCCAACCTCCTGGGATTTGCTGTATTGTCAAGTTTCATACACAGTCCAAAGCAAGTGACAATGATACGCCTCACCATTCAGGCGAGTTGTCAGAAAATCTGGTAAAGGACAATTACAAACGTCATTTGGCGTTATTCATTTTCGAAACAAGCACTTTGTCGTGTGCCGAATGCTGACGTTAGTGACGCACCCGCGGGTGGAGCTGTCAAACAACGATTCAACGGCAGAGATCACGTCATTGTCTACACGAATGGCAGACACAACAAGAAATTAAACAAAAGTGCAAAACAATGTACGTGTGTGTATGGCTTTCAACTGTTGGCTAATTTATGCCAGACCTGAAAGGCCATAGATTTTCCGAACCAAAGATTGGTTATGGGTTTCATGAACCCTCTACTACAAACCAGTGCAGTCATAGTTATTGTCATGATAGACCATTTCACAAACGTGGCTGTGGTAAACACTATGAGATGAAATCTCCGGTATTGTCAACACGCCGTGCTCGAGATGATACCCAGAGTCAATTCTAGAATTGGACTCTTAACTAGAGCGTGAAAAAATATTTGGAATACTTGAAAATGTATTCCACTTGAACACTTATAAGGAGATGGACAAGTGGAAAAATTGAGCTGCTGGCGACTTCTGTCATGATAACACAACCAGGCGACTGAACTAAACAGTAACTGATTAAGACGCTCATAGAATGATGATCTCCTTTTGCACCCCAGAAAAATACGATGATGGAAGCCCATAATCCCCTTGGTAATGTAACCTGATTAAAAGTCACTTAATGCTTTCCTGCCTGACAGGAGCGGTGTGTCAAGTGCCAATGAGGAGACATAGCACAATCATATCAGTCGTTAAGATATCAAAAGCGTACTACAAATTAAATTGCTGGTGGAGTGAAAATGCATGCAGGGTGGTGAAAGACTTTCTACTAACGAGCTACCACTTCTGAAGGGTCAACTTTTCATTCAACCAATCATTGTCCGCCACGTAATTTTGCACCTAGTTGAAAGTGTAGCCAATAGCAATTGAAAGCTAAGGCTGCGTACAAAGGGAAGAAATGTTCCCTACGGTTACCATTCCTAGGCAGTTAACCTAGATAACGGGTCAGAGGGTCGCATGGTAAGAAATGCGTCTTTGTTTTATGATGCCTTTGAGCAAATGGAAGTCAACAATTACAAACATGCATTTTGAAGATACGAAACCTCAGAATGGAGGGAGAAACAGCGAGTATAATGTAATTAATGAAATCTATTCGTCGAAAATTAATCGGTACCCCAGATTGAGCTGACGCCACCGAATACATGCTAAATTGAAAAAAGGTTTAAAAATAATGCTCCAAAGATTTGTAACAGTGATGCAGTGCGCAGATGAAAGACTGGAGAACAGGTAGCCGATAAGGGTCTGTTTTGCAAGAAAGAAGGCTAGAGTTTGCAGATAAAACTGTTTTTCTCAATGACACGTGCTTAAATCAGATGGCATCTCGACTGCCGTTTTTATACAAAGTGTCGGTTAGGACTCCACCGTTGCACCCTTCAACTATAACAGACTCACGACCATACGGATGCTATTCGACCGTTACCTTTTGCCAACAACACCTTTTCACTTCGAATGTCAAGCTTTCGCAGCACTTTGGGGAAGTGTTAGTGTTCTGCATTGGTGCTAACGAAGGCTACTCCATCAGTTGGGACCACCCTACTACTAGATGGATAACTAACTCGGTGACGGATTTCGACTCACATGTACTGCAGAAGAGCAATCAACCACTTATTTATATCAGCTCTAAACCATCTAATAATGCTTTCTCTACTGCGTAGATTGAACCCAGCTAAATACGACTTGATGGTGTCGATGCGGAATCGAAGTAATGGGGACACTGGATCGGAAATATTATTATTGTACCACGTTGGAGTCCGACAGAACTAAATTCGTTCACGTCGCTTCTCGATTGACAGTCTGAAGGTCAGTATTATTCTTCGGACAAGCTGGTCTCAGATCTATTGTACTACTCAGGTTAATTGAATACCTGTATAACCGGCGGTCACTGGTATTTTCTTGCCAAATTTTTCCGACGATGGTCTTTGAATCATATAATCGTTAACTCTCCTCCCCTTCTCACTTGGTCACATTCGTTCAGCCCAACTTGATGCCCTGTTCTACGTAGAGAACGAAGTTGCTGATACAGTACGGCTAACTCTCAGGTGCTTCTTATTGTAGCCCAAGTACGCAGCAGTTGCTCATGGGGAAGTAACACCAGAAAACACCGAAGACGTAGACCAAAAAACAGAGGCGCAATGGAAAACCTGGATTTCATGCCTCTATATGACTGGCCGTCATTTAGTATTTATTTTGCCCATGGTCACACAAGCTAGCCTTTAGACCAAGCTGAAGTTCAATATTTCCCGTTTTCCGTGATTGCGTATTATCAATGTAGCGTCCCGAGGCTTCTAATGGGTAGTAGAAAGCATAAGTGCGGTTGAATACATCTATTCCGAAAGCAATAGGAGAAATGGGGCCTGAGCGTGGCCCGAAGGCCAGCCCACGTGTACAGGGCTCAGACAAGTCCTAAAGTGACTGCCAAACGTCAGATATTCGCATAAACAAAGCATTACAATCAACTCTACTTTATTTTCTTCTAGCTAATGGAAAGCTAAGGGCTGCTGCACTAGTACCCGCAGCACCGAAGGCTTTCCTTAAACTCTGTGTCTCCCAAGCTACTCACGCTAATCAATTACCATCACGTCATTACGTTACGTTTTTAGTAATGTCGAAGTTTTACAAAATTGATTTTAACTGAAATAATATTGGTACCTAATTTAAAAATTGTTGCTACATTTTCGCTTACTTCATAGGTGTATTTGTTGGTAAAAGTTTCTACTTTTAGTAAAATCAAAAACTATTTCAAAATTAGTCAACGTCACAAGCTTAATATCGACCAAATTCATTTGGCATTGTTCAAAAGTATCTGGCTAAGGGCTCTGTGTAAGGCGTGATGAATGCCGAGGTAACATACCAAATCGGTGTATATCTTTGGAATTATTTAGAATCAGTTTGCTCTCCAGGACACTGAATTCAATGCTATCCTTCGGGAAAGGGGTGTTCTTCCTCCCCTTCCAAAGTCCAAAGAACCGACTCCTCCACCATCTCCTGAAAGCCAAAGTAAAGTTCTCTCTCCCCACCCACTTTATTTAAGCTTTGTCTAAGTTTTTTTTTTCGTACCTGGATAGGGAGGCAGCTTATGCAAGAAATGTCTTACACTCAGTTGACAGAGGAACTGGAAACCCTTGAGGATCGGGGTTGCGATGATTTGGATGAGGATAAAAAGTTTCTCGAACTCTACCGCCAGAAGCGCCTCGAAGAGATGCGTGAGGCTGCTAAGAAAGCGAAGTTTGGTTTCTATGGTGAGGTTACGAAATCTGATTGGGTCGAATCCGTAAATAATGCTGGTGAAGGTGTATATGTTGTGGTACATCTTGCCCATAAGGGGTAAATACTTGTCCAGTTTTAGATTTTTAGATTTTCTCAAATTTCGATATGTCCTCCTTTGTCGAATTAGGAATGAGAAGTGTGCTGTGATTGACCAACACTTGCGAACATTAGCTGCACTCTACCCAGCCGTTAAGTTCCTTCGTGGAGAAGCATCTCTTTGTGTTCCAAATTTTCCTGACTCCAATCTACCTACAATTATTGTATACTATAAAGGTGATGTTAAAGCGCAATACGTTGGCAGCGGAGCTCTGGGTGGCCACCCTTGCAGTATTGATGGTTCGTTTTTATGACTGAGTTAGCCTTCTATGTTAGTCTCCTCTTAGCATCTCACAGCAGTTTTCCGATTTTATAGATTTGGAACGTCTATTGACCAAGGTGGGAGCGATCTCTGTAGCTGAAGCGGACGGAGACGGCGAAAACCACCGTGTAGAGCGGTTGGGCAGTGTAACACGAATTCGTACTGGAAACAGAAGCCACCGTAGGCAGTCCACTGACTCCGACAGTGACTAAACAACGAGCTTCTGTACTTCCTCTCTTCTACGCTAATTTTTCAAACAATAACATGCTTTGCTTCGCATACTTTATCTCAACGGAATGGGAAGACGCATAGGAGAAGGTTAATAATAGAAGTTTGTTGAGTAAAGAATTACAATTGTATAGGTTTTAGTGTTCGCAGATTTTAAACATTACATACACGAGTTCTGTTGATAAAAAACGAACAAATACAGTCTGCTGCTTGCAAATGTGTACAGATCGACTTAGGTAGACAGTGGAGGCACAGTCAATTTTCTGCAGAACTGCTGCAATTAAGTGTTGACACGTACTGGCCGGGTGCCTCGTCGCGATCCGAGGGACAGACCGCAATGGCTGGGACTAAAAAAACAAGTGATTTTAGAAGGGACGGTGTCATATAGCCTTAGTACGATTCGCTCCGAGATGGCTCGATGTGTTTTAAACCAGACACAGATCTAGATATGTTAAGCGACACGGAATTATCTTAACAGTCTGTTTTACACAACAAGCGAGAAAGACTACGAGCCAAATTGTCCAAAAATTACAACCATTTCATACTCCGTAACCTACCGTACTGAATGAAGAAGGGAGGAAGCCAACAAAAACTTACAGGTGGGTTGAGTGGACGGAGAGGGAAATTCTGTCTTTGGGATAGTCATTTGAGCCTGCGATTGGTTCTGGCAGTTGGATTCAAGGTCACCCACCTCATCTGAGGGACCAGCCACTGCAGACAGCTGCTCCTTCATCAGACAGTCCATAAAATCTCTGGAAAAAAAAATTTTCAACAGTTTTATAAAAGCTTTTTTCAAACTTTTTTAAATGATTGCGATTGGTTGTTATGGTACACCAAAGTTTGATGCCGAATCAAGTCGCAGTTCGTGTAGTTACAAAATTTGTCCATCAGAGAGGAAGGAGAAAAATATCCTTTTCAGTCGAAATAATAGTAGACTTACGTAATGCCAGGATGAAGAGGCTTCTTCTTTTCGCGTCGATAAAGACGAACAAACTCGTCGTGACGTGCAGTCTTCTTCCAAAGGTAGTAGAAATGCACTAGTTCTCCCACTGTTTTATGCCTCAACTGAACACGAAATGGTGGAAAACTAACAACACAAGGAATGGCTAAGCAAACATGCACTGCAGAATAAGCCTTACCTTACTTTGTTGAATCTGAAAGAAATTCTTATTGAATGCAATGAAGCCTTTCTCAAACGCAGTGCAATCTGACTCGCTCCAAGTTTCCAGATAAGGAAGTATTTCTGCCAATGGAACAGGTCAGGCTCCGATATTTAAGCAAAAGTAGAATCTCCTTAGTGCATTTATCTATATGGGTCAAAAGCAGACTGGCAGATTATGATAGAGGAAGCATACAGAAGAGATAAGAAGTACGGGAAGTTGATTTAACTCTTACAAGGCGGGATACAAGACGCCTTGAGCACACATTAGGCTATCAAAAACGCCTTGAAACTTGCAATTAAATCGCCAGAAAAAGAGGAATGAATTATTTTACAGAAATAATCCGATTATTGTCAACATTTTGCTAATTACAAAAGGCAACCAGCAAAAATAAGTTGGAAAATTTGCATTGGAATGGACCGATTTGTGATCTAGAGGGTAGAGAAAGTCCTCTCTATTTCAGCGACAAGGCAAACGAGAATGCGGAATAAGTAGTATGCACAAACTCACATCACAAACGAAATAAATCAAGCGTATCACTAACCGGTTGGTTGGACGGGTTTCATTTGAAGGCGACTCAATGCCTCGTCCGGATCGAAATTGGATCGAAGGAGAAGGAAGAGTGCCTTCAGTGTACGGAATAGAAAAAAAAAATGATTTCACCTTAATTTCCTCCTATTGACGTGGATGCAGAGGTTGACTGTTTAAAAGCATTGAAAGTCCCAAATTTGAGCGAGTTTCACCCCAATTTTGCTCCTAACAATGGACCTGAATCAGGGTGAGGAGACATCGCGGTAAGTATAGACAAAATTTCGCTGCCCTCAGCGTTTGTGCAGTCAAAAAGTTTACGGCATTTCCATACTGCTTTCCCTCAAGATTTCAGGGCTGATTGGATTATTGGAATTGAGAGAGTTCGCCAAGGCTGCCAACGCGTTCGTCCAGAGGCCCTGCTGATGAGCACTGCCAGTGACACCGTAGTCGACATGAATGCACGCCACTCGTGACTGTTGTAGATTCATAAAGGCAGTAAAATGTGCTGGCAAAGAGGTTCACTTCTCAGAAAACCATTTTTTGCGATTCCATGAAATTGTGAAGTTGCTGCTTTACACATATTGGCGCAGACGTAGAACACAAGTGATGCATCCCTCAACGCTCAACTTGACAACACTTCCATTGACAGGAGAAATGTTAAGTGAGGTGCGACAAAGGAAAATGTGTGTTTTGAGTGCATAGGGCATGAACACCTTGTCGATGTGACTGATAATGAAAATAGTATCTAAAAAAGGACCAGTTTGAATGAAGCGAAGTTGCTAAAAAGATTCATGAAAGAGAAGCCGCGCAAATTCTACCTGTATTGATCTTGCAAAAGCGTTTTTAAAAGAACTTAGTGTGCTTTATGACCAGTATTTCAGCATTCAGATTGGATAGATTGGAAAGAGGTTAAAAAATTTAGAAAATACTCATGAAAACGCTACCAGTAGTCAAAGATGGCAAGCACATAGCGTAAACGAAATGTCTATCCAGCTAGTCTATTGAAAAGGCTTTACTTGTGGAGAGAGAGAGTGGCACGCGTTTTTAATGCGCTGAACATCAATTGGAGGTTTTTAATGCAACCGCACGTCTCTTTTCATAACTAGTACTAATGAGAAGGAAGAATGAAAATTACAATCAACTCCAAAAACCACAATACCAGATAAAATAAAGTCGGGCAATTGATGTTGATAGACCTCTAGTAGAGATAAAGAGATGTAAAAGCTTACCTCTTCGTCATCAGGTACGCGAGTAGTTGGTGCGGCGAGTGCAAGAATCCTCGAGTAGTTCTGCTGATAGTGCTCCACCTCCACCTCGGAGAGGTGGTTCGGTTTCCAAAGCATTCGTGCTTCCAGTCCCAGGTGTGAGTCCGTCCGTGAATTTGCCGGTGGTGGTGTTAATGGGACACTGGCTTGGTACTCCTCCCCCACATGCATCTCCTGTGTGAATACAGCGGTAAATGACGTGCGGTACACATTTGTAAAAATACGACTTATGAACAGCAAACCTTCAATATTAATAACTAAATTAAAACGCCCATTTTAAATGAATATTCCATTTTTTGCTTTTTCATTACCTTACTCATGATCGTTATTAAATCATGTGACCGTCTATATTCACGGTAAAGCATTATACAGACCTGAAAATTGTAATTCATGGGTGGCAGGTACTTTACGCACTCCTCCCACAAAAGTGTGTGCCCGAAGCTAATAAGGACTCTGTTTTTGTTGTCAATGGACAGTAATTTAACCACAAATGCAACGCAGTTTATCAGACACCTACTTAACACCTGTAACTCAAACAGACCGGGTGTTCTCCTAGAAATTGCGGCTGAACGTCAGAGGCAAAATACACAGATCACAGTGGTATGATCAAATTCAAGTACCAACGTCCAACCTGACATGTTCCAACACAGATCACGCAAACTGTCAACGTTTAGAATAGGTTCCTAAGGTTTTTTTAGCTTCATTAGTAGTTAGTGGCACTAGTCCTTACGCCTTCGAATACCGTCTGTGTAAGTTGCGTGACCATCTTCTCGCAGTTGCAGGCTATCACTTCTTGCATGTGTAAAATGAACTTGGAACCAGTTTTCGAGGATAGAGAAGGTGTAGTTTAGTTTCGCGCACAGCCCTGGATGTGTGAAAGCTTCTGGACTGCCTTCACATCATAAGAACAAGTCTGATTAAGAAAAGGGAGGAAACTACTCACACCGCGCCAATCGCCCTCTCCTTCAACGTTAGGCAAGTAATCCTCATCCTCCTCAGAATTATAAGCCGGTGGAGAATCGCCCGCTGTAAGTTTAGAAAAAAAATGAGGAAAGATTAATTGTGAGCCCTTAATAAAAGGTATGTTCACAAAAGTATGAGAGAGCAACTTACCCGCAAGAGCTTGACACCAGAGTGAGACTGCATGGTTTTTGCAATCGGAACCGACTTCTTCCTCTTCATCATCTTCCTCATCTTCATCAACATCCGCGTCGTCATCAACTTCATCATCTACTACTGCATCATCCACCAGCTCTTCCTCTTCCTCCGCTTCACCATTACTTGACGTGAGATCGATTTCAATTGCCTTCACACCACCAGGCTTGGTGTCATTGGGCTGTGGTAAAGGAGAGAGCTTGCCGTCAAGAATAAATTGCTCCATCATTGACATTCATTGAAGCATAAAGAAATACCACGAGAATCGTGGAATTGCCTCACTAGTGGAACTTAGACAACTATCAAGTATCCATTCTAGAGAACAAGTAGCTAGAAACTGCGCTTCAAGGTCTTCATACCGCACACACAAATGGAAGATGAGGGCTTTGAACAAAATCTTGGAGTTAATACCGCTGCAACAATGCCTGAGTGGTACCAAAAATAGTGCAGATACTCCAGCAGTTGGCGACATCTACAAAACGGCCCAAATTTCAGTAATACATTCCATCCTTCTTAAATCAGTTGGTGACGACACTAACACTGCATTCACTGCAATCACTGATGACCACATACGGGTCAAAGGAGAAAAAAGCCATTCAAATGCAAACTCGCAGTTAGTTTTATGAATTTCAGATGTCACAGTCACGAATTCATTTGGTTGCATTCTCAAATCTTTATTAGTTCTTAGTATTTTCTCTATATTTTGTGACATTCAGTTTTAAACGTCAACTTAGACGGCAGCAATATTATTGACACAATTTCTAGCAGAGAAGCTGGAAACAGTTTGAAGCGAATATTCATATCATTTGTGGGATTTAAGATCGCAGACATTCTGACATTTCCGTTGGTGCCAGCTATCCACAAGAAATCATACAAATCCTGTGGCAAATTAAAGAATATTGTTCACAGCAGATACCTAAAAGGCTGCAAAGCAGGAAAGTCTTACCCGATGGGCGGTACCGTTATTACCGCCCGGGGCCGCAACTGATGTCTCTGTAGGCGCTTGCGCTGTGTTGCCATTGTAGCGACGTTTACGCGTGAGAGACCGTTCGCCTGAATTCGACGGATTCATCGTTGATGAAGCAGTCTCAACTGGAATCGCAGAAGCGGGGAGGCCGTAGGAGGCTAGCAGCTCGCTCAACGACATCTCGCTCTCCTAGAGAACCAAAGGCATAATCGAACATACAATTGTTTTTACAAAAACAGGGAACGGAAACCTATAAGCATACCAGCCAAATCGATCGAAAACTAGATAGCATACTCAAGTACATGTGAAACAAGCAAGATAAAGTGGATTTCAGCCGTCAGAAAGATAAAGTGAGAGGCTTGAAAAAATGAAAAGCTCACAGACATCGAAGGGCGAATATACATGACAAAGATCGATACCAACTTTTCACAAGTACGTGGAAGGCAGGTATGTCAGGAGAAGACTCGTTAGGTGTTCAGATCAAGATTCTTATCAAGAAGAAATGGTGTGCCAATATAGAATTTGAGCATTTGAGCTAAGAGAAATGCGCGACATCAACTGAGCTCCTACCCTCATCAAACCGTTGACCTCTTCCTCATCAGCCACATCCTCTTCTGCTGCAATGCTATCATCATCCTGAACTCCACTACCCTCAGGAGGTTCAAACTCCGAATCACCAGTATCCGTGTCTTCATCTAAGTCAATAAATTCCACCTTTCCTTTTTCCCTTCCAACGCCCCCCGCACCGGATGTGGTCGATTCGGGCATCTAAGATGAGAAAACAAATGCATACTAGTAATCGATTTGATCGAATTCATGTCACTTAAAACACAAACATAATTTTGGTACTTCAATGAATCTGCTAAATGACAGCCCCACCAAAATTGCCGGTAAGAGTAACTAGATAACGGTGAATGAATAAAAAAAAGTAACAATTGCAAAAAGAAGCAGAGAAAAAATGGTTTATGCCAAAGGTAAGCACACCAAGCGCCTTAATAGAAGACCGCTGATGCATACAAGAACTCGATAACCTGCTTCAACCGAGATGTTGGAAGCACCACAAACATGAGACGCCAATTATAAGTAGAGCAAAACTCGAAAATTGTGCACAAGCCTTTGGAGGCGAAAGAGAACATCGTTTTAAGGACAAACAGAAATTCAAAGACATTAAAGAACAAGCAAGAAGAACATAGTAGCAAAACTAGTTTGATTAGGGATTGACACTTGAAAGACGAAAATAGAAAAGAACGTCCATATGAAAATACAAGTTAGACAAACCTAGACTAACCGAAAGAAGCTACTCCAAAAGGACGTCAAAATTTACAACCTCTTTAAAACTGAAAACGCCAAGTCACGGAAACAAACATACATCTACGCAAACACTCATTAGGATTCAGATAAAAGGCTATAATAACACAAAATGAGGCTCAAAATAACTATCTGGAGCGCATATGATCCTGCTATAAGTTATGAAGACACTACGTAAGCAAATCTTATCCAAGCAACCGCCGACGTGTTCTCGAAATATGCAGTCATTTAATGCGAGAACACCCAGTAAAGCTAAACCTACAAGCAGGCGTAATAATGAATTGAAACAATTTCAGAAGATAGTTACTAATAAAACAAGTAATCTCCTGATGTTGCAACAAATGAATCTATGATAATTTCGCCGCAATCAGCAATTACTGATTTTATCTTTACCGTTTTGCAGCATCATTTACTTAAGTTAGATAATTGGGCAAGTTTAAAATGTAAGTATATTTTAACGTTGAGTTTAGGTGAAGTTTAAATTGCTCGAAGCTCACATTATGATTTTGTCTCGATACGACCCATAGAAGTCGTATTCTCCTCCCTAGTTTTCGATCGTAAACCGCTTTAATTTCCACTCCGCAAACGCCGTTTGCTTTGATATTGACATGCGCTACCGTAATCAACCCGTTACTCATCACAGTTGCTCCAATTAATAAATATTATATCCCCTTAAGTTAGGTCTCGTGAGGACTATAGAACCAACCTAAACCCTAAACTTCGGACTTAAGGAGAGGGTTAATTGCAGAAGCGTTTTCGGCATTGAGCACAGAACAAAAGGAAGAGGGGGAAGGACAGACGAGAAGGAAGCAGCTGTCAGCCTATGGATCCTCACGCACTGGATTCGTGCTCGGTTTTATTCCCTGCCTTTCCCTTGTAAATGAAAATTTAAACGAACTAGCATATATTGCAATGATACCGACTGGAGGACCTGATCTTACGAGAATACCATTCCTATGTTGATTGTTTTATGTGACACCCTAGCAGAACCTGTAGGAACTGCTTGCCTACCCTCATGCTCTTGAACCATGGACTTCAAGAGAGGGTTAGCTGCAGTAGACTTATTAAGCACTGGATGCAGGAAGAACAGGGATAAGAGTATGGATGAGCTACATGGCAGATATCACCCAGAGAGGGATCCATTATGGTCCTTACGCATCGGATTCGCATTCGAATTCGCTCCTCTCCTCTCTCCTACAATGTCAATTTAAGCATTCTAGTATATGTTACAGAACCTATGAAAGTCTTTCATAATGGATGCAGTGTCATGAAGCTTCCCTCAGGTAGAAGAATGTATCAAGTTGCGCAGAATATATGTGTTTTGGTAGAAGAAGTAGGCGCAGGTCTCCGGCATGGCCTAAAGTTTATTCCACTCGTACAAACGTAAAACAAATATCGTAGTGCATAATAATGGATTTAAGAGCTATAAACAATCCATGGGGAGGAGGATGTAGCTTCCCACTTTATGGAAGGTATTAAGCTGTCCTGAGAACATTTATTTTAAAGACCAGTGGAAATATTTAAATTTGGTTTGGTTCAAAGGCCAGTCCATGCAAACCAGAGCTAATTAAACACCAAAGCAATCACCAGTTATGAAGGCAGTAATCAATTTCAAATATTACATTGCAGTATTTCTTTTGAGTGACGAGGACGTCGCCCTTTCCATCCCTTCTCCAATACACCGTCACGACGCATTTATTGCCTCAGAAATCACTTACGAGACTGAGGGGCTGTACCTGACCTCCTGAATAGAATAAACATAATCTGAAGTTAGACATCGCAACACTGGTCTAAGAAAAGCCTCGTTCCAAGGAAAACAGGATTAAACACAGTCTTGTAAACCGACTTCAATGTAATGTCAGCCTCGAGGTCCATAGGCGAGTTTGGTAATTAAACTTGCAATGTGATACTTTTTTAGGTGCTCCAGTTGTTGATAGCTTACTAGATGAAAACAGAGATAGAGCAGATGTCAAAAGGACGTCATTATCAATCCTTCGCTTGAATTAGTGCGTGCTTCACAGTCCATACTTTTGTTACATTCAGTGAAAACCAGTATTGAATCGTAACACAATGGGGTTCGCTTTTTGCCACCATTTTAACGGCCTGAGAATTCTCATTTGATAGGAGAAGAATTCGGACTATGGTTTGGCCCGAAAGTTAGTCGACGCAAACTAGAGTAGTACGAATACCCAAATGACCGTTAGTCATAGAGGCAATCAAATAAGGAAGGTATTACAGATGGTAAGGCGATCTCAATTCCATATTTTGCAAAAAAGGCTATTACCAACAGTACCTACTTAAAATATTGTGTCTACACAGTTCCTCTGATCTGCATAAGTGAGAAATTTTGACGCTGTGGGTAGTGGCAAACATCATCCACACCGATCTGTGCTAAGTAATGTACTTCCCTTCATCCAAGTCTTTTAGGGCACATGTAGCGGACAATTACCAGATCGGACGAAATTTAGATGCATTTTAGCCGCCAAGAGGACATGGTGGCACTGCCACCATAAATTTCTGCAGCTGCACAAAACGCGGAAACTTGCGAGTTGTTTAGCTTTATTTGTGTTGTGATGGTCGACGCGGGATACTTACTAAGTAGAGCTAAGTGCTGGTGCTCAAAAAAAAAAGAGAAGGTAATTATTTTTATTGTTTTGCTCTCCCATTTCGGTTGTGGTTTTCGTAGCCAGCCGTATTGCCTTCACCGCGCTGAGTGGCATTCTTGACCGTGCCATCAGCCCAATTCTCTTTGGCGTGCCCTTAATCAACGCCGCCAATCAAATAACTAGGTTTTGAACTGTTTTGTTTCCATAATCTCTGTCACAAAGTGCCAACTTTGATAAAATATCAAACGGGTTTATTAGAACCTATTAACTATCCGTCTTTACTTAATTTTAAGCTAAAGGCATTTAATTTTGGGTGGAAATTGGATCACTGTTTAGAGTTGAGCACCTTTTTTCACTTCGATCGAACGTCGATTAGACATATTAGGAAAGCCCTGATTGGTCGAAAACTACCTTTGCTCAAGTTGCGTGCAACAGCATCATCTGAGACTCCTCTCAAAATACTGCAGGCCGAGTATAGCAGCAAAGTTCAAGGCCTTATTCTTGCCATCTATGTTATAATATTCGCTGCGGGCTCATGCAAATTGTCAACGACTCGGATTAAATATGTTATTGCTTCATGGTGCAGTCGTCTCCAGACTGTCTATGGTACGCATATGTAGTTAATACGTCAGCTGATATGGTGGCAACGGATATATTGTCTAATTTGTTTGACTGTATGCGTAGCGGTCACTTTGACTGCCATCTCACCTCTTTGGGATGATCTGGACCTAAAGCCGTGCCAAAAACCTTATCCATTGCCCTTCTGCTTGGTTGCATGTATATGAGCAACTTTTGCGTCTTCTAGCACAACGTTACTTTTGGAAACGCTACGCTGGAGGCGACAGATAGGGAACTCGGCCAGTTTACACTTTCCTTCTTGGTATCCTTAGTTTGCAACAAACTTTGTTAGGCAAATAAACGCATATATTTCGTAGCAAGATTCTCTACTCCCTCTGCTGCAGATGAGTCCAGAACGATGTCTGATCTCAGCATTTGTCCACTTCTGTGACCCACAGGTAAGAAATTAACGTCAAGACACTAACTGTTGCAAACCCTCTCAAAATATTTCAAATTATCATTTTAACTACATTTGGTTGTAGGTATCAGCAATGCCATTATGCTAACTCCTTACCCCTCCCCCTTCAACTTCTCTCCCTACCCGCAAAGATATGTTTAAAAATCCGTATTCCCTATTACGAAACGGTTTAAGACAACTGTCCTGGGCACAAATGATGGTTGACATAATCTCCAACCGCCAAATTCTATTTTTATGCCAGATAAAACTAGAGCTCCAGTTGAAGCTACTGAGAGTGATCGGGGGTGACGTTCAAAGGAAGGGAGTAGTTGCGCATTACTTTGTTCGACTACTTCCATGAGAAACGGTCACTTAGTTTATCACATTGCTTCTCGTGGATGAGCTGACTTTTGGGCCATGCAAAGAGCTCCATCACCCTGTCCTCCGCCTGAAAATGCGTATTCAAACAAGCATTATGTCTTCTACTACCCAGTAAAAAAATTCATGACGTTACAACTTAATCACGAGTTAACCTGGTGGACTGGACTTGATGCACGGAACAGCATCAGCTAATAAGGTAACACATTTGCCACTGAGATCAAATGATGAAATAGGAATAGGTCAAAAATTGCCTTTTGTATAATGTCGTCGAATAGCTCGTGAACACAACTTCAGGATGCCGTTGAAGGTATCATTTTAGTCCTTCTTGTGACCTAGGGCATTGTGTTGAAAGGCGGTTTTAGGCTATGCATGCAAAATGTGCCATCTCTGTTCGTTACTTCCTTTTTATTCACTTATAGCCGTATTAATCTGGTTGCTTCTCTATTCTGACTACAGAAGTAGAGCGAGCATAGGGCCTTTGTCGGGTAAGCATGACTATAAGCAATGCTGACAACCTCATTCCTCACCTAGTTACCTCCTTTTGTCGCTAATGAAGGCTTAGGGCACTGTGTTGGTGGGAGGGAAAGGAAAACTCGATTCACACCGTTTGTGACAGGCTTTGGTGGTGCCAAATGTGTGTGTAGATTATGGGTGGGGGAAAGGGTAGCACTCTCATAAAAGTAAGGGTGACAATGACTCCTACCTCAAACACCTACCCTATTTCCGCATTCTAGAAGATAGTCATTATCAAAGGAAGCACAATTAAGGCTTCTCTGGTGCTTGGATAAAGAAGACAACAGTGTTAATATACGCAAGATAATGCCTTGAGGAAATTTCGTTAAATACTATTATTTTTTTTACAAATCGTCTCAAGTGATAGAGGGATTAGGAGTTCACCATCTTATTTGGTCTTTGTCTGTGGTTACGGTAACTTAGGTGCGTCTGGATCTCGCCAGTACCTTCGGCTCCCTTCTGTTACCTGAATATACACACACTTTGTCCAAGGCTCTGGTCTTTTATACCTCAAGTCAGTGGCGTAGTGCCAGTGTAATGGTGGTCTGTTTGTAATTCCATTAAAGCAATAAAGCGAGGTGCCTGAAATACCCTCTGTCTCCGTTTTGCTATGCTTTACTATCACAAGAGCTCAAGTATTGCTTAACTTAACACCAGCTGCTGTGCTGACTCTATGACATCTTGTTTACACCACGTTTTCAGATAACCATCATTCCTTCCATATGCTTACGTTATGATTTCATGACCTACAGACGGGTGTTGAATGCAGTAAATTATTGTTGGTAGTCAAAAGTAGCCATAAAAGTGACGAACAATTATCAGCTAATGGACCATCTAACGCAAAAAATGCCTACGTTTGAAAACCACACATTTAACTTCATAATGCCGAAAAAAAACCTTTAAGTTGCAGTTAAGTCAACGAGACCCACCACTCTGGAAGTTTAACCAGCGCGACTAAGTTGGCGATCTACGATGCTAGTGGCTGATGCCAAACGAACGATCGCGATAATGCCGTCCCGAGACATGCATTCCTGTACACGTGGCGCGAATCACAATAAATCATCTACTTAGTACTCACATGTGGTGGGCAGAATGCGAACCCATTGTCGATTTCAGTTTAAGCAATAAAATTGCTTGTTATTAGCTAAAAAGTGCTTTTGATTTACCACTTTCCAACACGAGTAAAAGTGCTGCAAATCTATAAAAAATTCTTCTGGAAATGAGTCAGCTCATTGCATAAATTCTGCCTGGCAGATCCTCAGCGAAGTGGTGAGAATCCGAAGTCAAACCACCGACGGAGGAACAAGACTTATGGGCCCAAGCGGCCTCCTTACAGCCGTTCAGTCAAATAAGCGCTAAATGCCCTTTCTCACATTTCCTCCATTTTGGTCTCGCGCCTGAGTTAGTTATACAAGCTCATCCGCCAGTCATCAAAAACAATCGTTGATTATGGGCAAAACACACACGAATCAACACTGATATTCATCAAAATGGCATGGAACTACACGAATACACGACCGCAACATCACTGATCCTACTTGACACCCCTAATGGATGCGAAATTACGTCACCTATGGAAAGTATCTTCAGAGAATAGAGAATGCGGTGACCATCATGCGTGTTCACGCCCAGCCGTGAGAGTACTGACATACAAATGAACTAATGTAGCTGTCGAGCTCCAACGTGGTCCACTGATAAGATTTCGGATCCGGTGCCCCCATCACTTAGTTTCCACATCGACACCATCAACTCGTACTTAGCTGGGTTCAATCTACGCAGTAAAGAAAGCATTACTAGACGGTTTAGAGCTGATGCCAAATCAGTGGTTGATTGCTCCCCTGCATTACACATGAGTCGGGGAGTTGTCAAGGGGAAATGCCGATTTCAGCACTTCGTTGGGATCTGCCACCGATTTAGCCGTCCGTCTAGTAGTAGAGTGGGTGCAACTGGTAGCAGCCTCCATATTACCAGAGCAGAACACTAAGGCTTCCTCGGACTGAAAGTAAAGAGCTCAGCAAGAAAACGAACTGCCAACAAAGATGAGAACACAGGACTACGCGTACGATGCATAACATGTCGCGCGAACCTGACACAACAGTGTAGCCTTGACCGCCATGATACCGAACCTGCCAGCCTACCAAATAAACACAGTCATTCTGAGGAACCAATAAAAATCTTTAGCACCCATGTAAATCAAACGACTAGAAGCACCTAGAATGCAAACCTACACGTCTTGCCATATCATTATAAATAGAAAACCGACCTACTAACAGGCAGAAAACGCGGCAAAATCCAATAATCATCTCTCAAACCCAGCTGTAAAATCTTTCAAGAAAATGGAAGAGAGGATGGGGTGAGAGCGCTCAATCAATGAGGTTAATGAAAAGCAAAGTCCCAACTCAGGGATCCACGAAACTCCGACGGTTAAAAACTGCGTATGAGTAATGATGTGGTAGCAGACACAATACATGAACCATGAGATAGGAGAAATAAGAGGTAATAGAATTAAGAGGAAGAAAAAATGTGACAAGACTTCGAAAGAAATATACTGTACATCACTGAGTTTACAATTCCTCCTTCACAATTTCCTCGGCTGGCATTGTGATTCTGCCCTTTTCCTGAATAAACTTTTTGAAAGCATCGACTGTACGATCTCCATTGTAATCGATTACCTGATAGAGGAATAAACTATCAATGACTAACCAAGAGGGATAGAAAATATTAAAAATCGACGCACATCATCACTATTTTTCGGGAAGAGCTTAATAGTAGGGAAGCTGCCAATCTTAATGTTCTCCAGTTCATTTGTCGTTGCATCCATTTTCGCGATGATGACCTCTGGGTGATCTTTGTAAGTCTCACCGAGTTGGTCCCACAGAGACTTCAACTGTTTGCAGTGACCACACCAGGGCGCGTAAAACTCAACAAAGACGGCCTTTGATGGGTCTCGTGCAACGGAATCGAAATTTTTACCAACCAATACCTTAACAGGCTCAGCATCCCAGTTGTCGGGAACATCGTCCGACTGCAGGTAAGGCTTAATTTTCTTATCAATGGCGTCATTAGTAAAAGCCTTCATAGACTCGAATGTAAACTCAACAACTTCAGGTTTGAATTTAACGACGGAATCGTCCAATTCAATTACGCGGTAAGTAGGACACTCTTCTTTCTTGATTCCAAAGAAGCTGAGAATACGTTCATGATTTTCATCATCGACGTCAATGTGTACGACGTGAGCACGACCACGAAATTCAGCACCAACCTGTCTCAAGACGTCCATATACGGTTGGTAGACATCATCACTCTTCCTCATGAACACAATTATATGTCTCTTAATGTCACTACTGAAGACGACAACCGCTGACTCCTCGTTAAACTCCGTAACGAGTGGAACCTTCTCGGTTTTGATGAATTTGGTCAGTTCATCGACTGTCATTTTTCCCTCGTACACAACAACTGGGTCATCGAACTAAAAAAAAATAAAGACTGCAAAATTCATGGTAAAAAAGCGGAGCGGTAAGTTGATTATCTACCTTTCTGACAATAACGACAACTACACCACCTTTGTAATTGAGTTTATCGAGAATGCTTTGAGCAGTGGGACGAATATACACTTCGTCGGAATTAGAAGCAACGATGTGGAAGACCTTCCATTCTTCGGATTCGGTGTTGTCAGTGATGCCAACAACAAGAAACTTATTCTTCTCAACAATTTCCTCGTATTCCTCAGCAGACTGGACAGTAAGCACAGCTGGACCTGTTTTCCTCTTAAGCCAGCTAATAATGCCTTCAGCAGATCGTTCACCGTCGAATTCTATGGGAGTGCCCTCACGGAAGAGTTTCAGAGTTGGGTAACCCCGAACCTCGTATTTCGAAGCAAGGCTAGTTTCTTTAGTGGCATCAACTTTGGCTAGCTTTATTTCTGAATTTTCTTCATCGAGTAGCATCGAAGCTTTGTTATATTCAGGTTCTAGACGTTGACAATGTCCACACCATGGCGCATCTACGTTAAAGCATTCGTTCACAAAATGCAAAACATACAGAATTTGACAAGGACGTATTTATGAGAAGAGATCGTTTCATCAAAGTTGCTTTCAGTTAAAACAATAACCTTTGAAACGTCATCTCCGTAAGCAGTGTGAAGAGAAACCAACACGCCAAGCACGAGCACCAAACCGAACATCACAACCTCCAAGCTCGACCTACGTCACCAGCTAATGACGTGAACTTCGTAATATAGTGCAATTAAACAATAAAGCATTCATAGTTTTCGTGGCGGAAAACGAAGCAATTATAGAAGTCTTCATATTATGGCGCCTGCTTTCTACTAAAAAGCTTGTTAATAGCCTTATGGTTTTAAAAAGGCAAGAGTAAACAATTCATCATCCAATGTCTTAGATAATTATTTAATTTTTTTCTCTTCCTTACTAATGCATCTGCAACAAGATATTGCAGTTACTGCCTGTCTACCCTCTGGTCCCTGGTTCTCAGACTTTAAGAGGAAGTTGGTTG